CGCAGCCAAGGGAGGGGGCTGCCCGGCCCCCTCCCCGAGCCCCAGCCCCCAGGACCCCGGCCAGAGGGACAGGAGGCCAAGTCCCCGATGCCAGGTCACAGCACAGCAGCCGAGGACGACGGGGTTCCGGAGCCAACAGGTGCAAGGCGTGGGGGACCCCCAGGCCCGGGGAGGGGAAACAAAAAACCCACAGCAGGAGTCAAGTCTTGAGAGATAACCTAGGTGCTAGGAGGCTGCGTCCCCAGAAGGCTCCTCCCGGCGGGCTCCCGCAGCCCCGCTAACGCTCTCGCTCCCACCCACGCCCCCGCCGCAGCCCCCTACGGTCCCCGAGGTGCAGGGAGGTCCCGCTGAGGGAGTGGGTCCACCGGTGACCGTGGGGTACAGAGGCGTTCCCTCCCCGCCCCCCAGGGCCTCCAGGGACCCGCCACCCTCCTACACTTGCCTGGGGTCGTCTTTGCCCAGCCCGGGGAGGGAGGGGTCGGAGTCGCCCGGGAGGGGCTAGGAGCGAGGCCGGATTTATGAATGGAGCGCGCGGCCTGCGCGCCGGCCCAGCGACCCCTGGCGGCGGCCAGGACGCGGCTCCGAACCTGGGACTCTACCTGGGGACTGGCTGGCGCCTGCGGGCCTTAGGGCTCCTGCCGCTGGGCTGGGCTCTCCCCACGCTCCTCCTGCACCCCGCCGTGTGAGTGGGTATGTGTGTGTAATGCCAGGGCCTGAGTCGCTAACGCCTCCCCTGTTCAACCGTCAACCAAAAATTCAGACCTGTGAATTGCTTGAGGAGAGAACATTTGCAGACTGTTATTTTTTTTTCTCCCAAATTTATGGCGTTGGGCGGATTTGGGCAGACGTGGTATACTCTGGTCTTGAGCAAGGGGCTCGACCTGTCTAAACTTCCATTTCTTCATCTGTAAAGCAGGGGTCCATAACAACCATAACCTGCAACCACCACCAAGCCTGCCCCCTGCTCCCGGGCCAGACTGAGTGAAGCACCTGGCTGGGGCAGGAGCGCATTGCTCCTCTCCGGCCCTGCGAGGCAGGTTGCGGGTGTTACTCCCTTGGATAGAAGGGGAAACTGAGGCTGAAAGGGGCGCGGTAAGTTACCCGACAGCAACTTGTAGGAAATCTGAATCAAAGTCAGGTTTGCCTTTCCCTGTCAGTTTCAGGTTCACCGTAACCCGCAGGACTGCGAGAATTAGGAGCAGGCTCATATGCACATTGTCTGGCACAAGCCCTGATGTTTCCGTCCTTTCTCTCCGCCACTCTCCCTTCAGGAGGCTGGGGCTGGGGCCCCTCAGGCCTGGGTCCAAGGCTCTGGGTCTCCTAAGGAAAGCTGCCTGAGGCCTCGCCGGGGCTCCCCGTCCCCCAGAATGCTCCCCAGGTGCCTTGGCTTTTGAGCTCATGGAGCCCTCTGTTACCCTTGGGGCCCAGACAGGGGCCCCCAACGGCAGCGGGGAACCGTCCCCGGCGCCCCCTGACTACGATGACGAGTTTCTCCGCTACCTGTGGCGCGATTACCTGTACCCCAAGCAATACGAGTGGGTCCTCATCGCAGCCTATGTGGCCGTGTTCCTCGTGGCCCTGGTGGGCAACTCGCTGGGTAGGTCCCGCGTCGGGTGGTTTCCCTGCCCCCCACTTGGCCCCTCCCTCCGGCTTTCTAGGTAGCGTGGGGGAGGAGCCCGAGGGTGGGTGGGCGTGGCTTCACCTCCTCCCTGTTCCCTGCAGTCTGCCTGGCGGTGTGGCGGAACCACCACATGAGAACCGTCACCAACTACTTCATTGTCAACCTGTCCCTGGCTGACGTGCTGGTGACAGCCATCTGCCTGCCGGCCAGCCTGCTGGTAGACATCACCGAGTCCTGGCTCTTCGGCCATGCTCTCTGCAAGGTCATCCCCTATCTACAGGTGAGCTCTGCGCAGGCGCGGCTCATCCACCGCCCCCCACCCCCCATCACGCCAAGGACAGAAATCCTTGACTCGCGTGAGTCTCAGCGACCCTCAGACTTGCCTTTCAGACAGGCTCAGTATCTCTGTCATGTCATCAACTCCTGTCACGAGGACAAGTCACCAGGCCCAACTCCAGGACAGACACAGCCCTACATACTCAGAGGTGCTTGGACACGTCCAAGAGCAGACACAGAGACAGTCTCCAGCACATGGAGCAGTGACAGACACAAATGCACGCTGGACCTGCTCCCTGACCCCAGAGGGCCGGAGGTGCTTGCTGAAAGAGTCCCCTCCCTTCCATTCCTGACAGGGGCCTTCCCTCTGGGCAGTGGTCTGGACCAGGATGTACACATGGGGCCAGTGGCCTCTCAAGTGCTCTGTACCCCAGAGCCTGGGAGCACTGCTGGAGGCAATGCCCACTTCTGGCCTAGACTCATCCCTGCCTCCCAGAATGAGGGCATTTTCCTTAACAACTTGGGAAAGGAATAGCAGCCAAGGACCCAGAGAAGCGCGTCTTGTATTTCAGGCTGTCATCTCAACTGGCAACCCTGAGAATAGGACAGGCAGGCGAGGGAATTTACCTTGGGCGAATCATTTGACCTTTCTCTGCCTCAGTTTCCCTGCCCGTGACATGGGGTAAGAGTGCCCAGCACACAGGGTCGTTGTGAGACTGAGAACAGCACGTAGTAGGTCCCATACATGTAAGTTATTATTCATACTCAGGAACACTTACCATGTGCCAGGTCTCAAGTTGTACATTCTCCAGCCGTGATTTTATTTATTCTCACAAGAATCCTGCCAGGTGGATGATATGTTCCCATTCTGCAGATGAGGATCAGAGAGGGTGAGTGTTTTGCCCAAATCTGAGAGCCAGTTAGTGGTGGAGTCAGGATTTACTGGCTGCCTGGTATTTCTGGGCTGTGAGACCTCCTCGCCCCTCCCCCAATCTCTAGGGGGCCCCCCAAGAGGACTGACGCTGTGTCCTCACCGGGCAGGCTGTGTCCGTGTCGGTGGCAGTGCTGACTCTCAGCTTCATCGCCCTGGATCGCTGGTACGCCATCTGCCACCCGCTGTTGTTCAAGAGCACGGCCCGGCGCGCCCGTGGCTCTATCCTGGGCATCTGGACCGTGTCACTGGCCGTCATGGTGCCCCAGGCTGCTGTCATGGAATGCAGCAGTGTGCTCCCCGAGCTGGCCAACCGCACCCGGCTCTTTTCTGTCTGTGATGAACGCTGGGCAGGTAATGGTGGGAGGCTTGGGCAGGCATGCCTGAGGTGGGCGCTTCCGGGGCACACACCCTTAGGGCAAGCATTTGTGGGGAGGTTAGCAGGAATACCTCCACAGTGGGTCCCTTCTCCAGGGTAGACTTCTGCAAGGACCCCCTCCAGGATGACCACGCCCCAGGTGGGCCAGCTTCAGCAATTCTCTGCAGGGATACCTGTACGGAGCCCAGGTGCCCCCAGGTCATAGCAGTTGGGGCAGGGTGGCCATGAGAAGCAGGGTAGGCTGTGGGCTCCCAGGCCGGACCCAGTGCCTGCATCTCTTGGTCCCTGCAGATGATCTCTACCCCAAGATCTACCACAGCTGCTTCTTTATCGTCACCTACCTGGCCCCACTGGGCCTCATGGCCATGGCCTATTTCCAGATCTTCCGCAAGCTCTGGGGCCGCCAGGTAAGACCTACGCTGGTAGCACCGTCTGGCTGGGAGCGGGTAGGAGAGTAGACAGTCCTCTGCCTTCAGAACATGCCATGCCGGCTGCTGCTGGGGAGGGGCAGGCTCACGGACATGTCTGGCTCAAGGCCAAAGGTGCCGATGCCGACCCTGGGGGCAAAATCTAACTAGCAGCGCTGTAATCTCCACAGCAGCCATGTGTTATAGCAGTCACTCCCTGCTAGGCTCTCAGCCTCTTAACTACCACCTATTGTCCCACCTTAACATACGAGAAGACTGAGGCCCAGACAGGCCAAGCAGCTTCCTCCATGTCCTTCAGCCTGTGCGCATAAGTTCAGAGTTTAAGATTCAGCGGGGTTTAGAGCTCAGTTGACTGCCCCAGCAACAGTAGCAGCTCTGTGTTGTGCCTCAAATCAGGCACCTCATATGCAGCGTCCTCACACCTATCTAACAAAAGCAGCCGCGTCACCCACTTGCTAAGTGCAGAGCAAGGCCAGCTCGCTTGGCGAAGCCAGTGAGTGGCAGAGCCGCTCCGGGTCCAGGTGCTGCCTGGACCCCACAACAGGCTTTGTGGGGTCTTTGGGTGAGGAGGTGGAGAGTGTTAACCACAGGCCCAGTGGGCGTGAGTTCTGCGTTAGTGCCCAGCTCTGTGAGAGAAGCAGGCCAGGACACGCCCGGCTCAGGACTGTCACCCACACCCTAGGGTGTCACTCCCACCCCACAGAGAGCCCAGCCCCGACCCCAGCCATGCAGGGTGTTGGGCAGCAGAGATGGACCGGATCACACCCAGACCCTGGGGCCCTTCCCGGCCCATTCTCAGACCACCAGCACCTGCCATCTGCTCAGCACAGCCCCCAGTCAAGTGGCAGGAGCCACTGTCATCTTACAGACACAAGAAGGAAGGTGAGGTGACTAAGGCCACGTAGCTCCTGAATGGCTGAGCTGGCCTAAGACCCAAGTTTCCTGAACCCTAGCCTCATAGACCTGTGTTGTGGGGTGATTCAGGGTGGTGGAACAGGCCTTGAGGGCACCGTGGCTGCTCCGGGAGCCCGCAACTGCCCTAAGTCTCTGTGTGCCAACGTCTGCGGGCTCTGGGCTGTGGGCCAGACCATTCCATGCTGTCCACCTGCTCACCCCCCGCCCAGGCCACAGTAAGGCATGTGCCAGGGTGACACAACTGACCCCCACACCAACCCCAAAGGTGGAGGTGGTGATTGAAGAGGATAGATGGACCGTTGGGTGGCTGTAGCCTGGGGTGTCGAGTGTCCCCAGTTTCAGTTGCCCCAAGTATAAGTGCAGGCCCAGAATTCCTCCTCCAGGGGCATGTTGTGAGGGGCCTCGCCAGGAGCTAGTGCAAAATGAACACTGTGTGGACCCTCAAGTACAGAGTGTTGGTGGTATCAGGAGTTTGAGGCTCCTTCCCTTCCCAGGGGTCAGCCCCTCGTCCACCTCCACCCTGCCCCAGGGCCTGCCTGGGAACAGGGCGCAGCATTGGAGAACCAAGCTCCAGGGGCGCGCGCCACCGCTGCTGTCTCTGTGTGTGGGCAGATCCCCGGCACCACCTCGGCTCTGGTGCGGAACTGGAAGAGGCCCTCCGCGCAGCTGGAGGGCCAGGCGCAGGGCCCTCGCGCAGAGCCCCAGCCGCGGGCGCGCGCCTTCCTGGCTGAGGTGAAGCAGATGCGCGCGCGGAGGAAGACGGCCAAGATGCTGATGGTGGTGCTGCTGGTCTTCGCCCTCTGCTACCTGCCCATCAGTGTCCTCAACGTCCTCAAGCGGTGAGCCACGGGTCGCGGCGAGGGCTGGAAGGCTGTGGAAGCAGTTCTCTCTTCTTTGGAGACAGATCTGCTTCTTTTTCAGCCGCAGTGTGAGCTCAGGGTGGGCCATTTTGCTTCTGTGAGCCTCAGTCTCTTCATAACAGTCAGGCCTTCTGCTGTGAACATCCATCCATCCATCATCCATCTATCATCCATCCATCCATCCATCATCCATCATCCCATCATCCATCCATCATCCATCCATCCATCCATCCATCCATCCATCCATCCATCCATCCATCATCCCATCATCCATCCATCATCCATCCATTCATTCACCCAGTCGACAGATTATAGAGCCTGGGAACACAGAGAACTGTGTCCAAGACAAAGTCCCAGATGGGAGAAAGAAATTCACAGTTGTCCTCCTTTATCCGCAGTTTCAGTGACTCACAGTCAATGGCAGCCTGAAAATATTACGTACAGTAACATATTTTGAGAGACCAGATTTGTCTGACTTTTATTACAGTATACTGTTAGATTTTTTCTATTTCGTTATTGATTATTGTTAACCTTTTATTGGGCCTAGTTTATAAATTAACCTCTGCTGTAGGTATGTATGTATGCGGGGGGCAGAGGACTCCCCACTCTCTCCTCTTCAGGCTTCCACTGGGGGTCTCAGAACTTATCCCCTGCAGATAGGAGAACGACTTCTTCAGATAATAACCTTGGGTGGTGATAGTAGCTATGAAAAAATAGGGAAGAGAAGAGAGCATGGCAATGACAGGGATTGGTGGGCTTTCTTACTAGATACAATGGCTAAAAAAGAGGAAGTGGGGCCCTCCCTGGTGGCGCAGCGGGTTAAAGCACAGCAAGAAGAAGCTAAAGCCACTTCCGCATGAGTTCCATCCCCGCCTGCCCTGAGGTGACCCACATGTGCGCAGACCTCTCCTGACCTGCCCGCTGCTCCCCTCAGCGGTGTATTTCAGTCAGTCTGCCTGTTCTGCTCCCCATTCTGTCCTGGATGAGTCCTCTCACTGCCCCTGTACCTCTGGCCTGTACCCCAGTTCTGAATGTATAAATAAATCTTTAAAAAAAAAAAAAAAAAAGGAAGTGACATGTGAGCTGAGGCAGGAAGGGCAGGAAGGGCGGGACCGGGCCCTGCAGCCACTGCGGCACAGCCTCCAGTCACCGGAGCGGAGGGAGGAAGAGCAGAGTCAGTCACAGCGTGGCTTGTGTTATAACCTTGGGTATTATAACACTTGCTGTCTGTGTGACCTTGGGTGTGTTGCTTTACTTTTTTTTTTTAAGGTTTTATTTATTTATGCATATAAGAACTGGGGTACAGGCCAGAGGTGCAGGGGCTGGAGTGGTGAGAGGATTCACCAGAGACAGAGTGGGGAGCAGAAGAGGCAGATGGACCGAAGTGCACTGCTGAGGGGTGTAGCGGGCGGGTCAGGAGAGGTCCACTGTGCCATGCGGGTCGCCACCAGGGCCAGGAATTGAACTGGTGCTGCAGTGGCTGCGGCTGATTCACAGTGCTGTGCTTAACCCGCTGCACCACCAGGGCGGCCCTGTGTTGCTTTACTTGCCTGAGTTTGTTTCTCTAACTGAAAAAATGCTGGTGTCTCTGACTTACGTTGCTGTGAATGGACTAGAAAGTGAATGGCAGCCCCAGGAGGGCAGACCTGGCAGCGATGACTACTTGCTTATGTTCTCTGTGTCCGAGAGCCTGAAACTTGCGAGACCCCAGAGGCCCAGGAAGGGGCGGGTGGGTGGTGAGCCCGCCGTGTCCCATTGTCCTCCCGCCCGGTCCTAGGGTGTTCGGGATGTTCCGCCAGGCCAGCGACCGGGAGGCCGTCTACGCCTGCTTCACCTTCTCCCACTGGCTGGTGTATGCCAATAGCGCTGCCAACCCCATCATCTACAACTTCCTCAGCGGTGAGCGGGCAGGGGACGCCGTGGCTGAGCCCACGTGGGCACAGCCTCCTCACCCCCAGTGAGGATACCAGGTGGTGGGGGAGGGTAAACCTGCTTCCCCTGAGGGTCATGACCCTGCTCTGGTGACTCCTGGAGACAGGTCACCCTGGTAACAGGACGGGGAAAGGCTGTCCAGCACCCAAAAGCACAATTTTGGGAATTTTGCACCAGTGAACGAGTGGAGGAGCAGGGGCTGGGCCGGCCTCCGCCCTGGCCGTGCCCTGCCCTGCAATCAGCTCCTGTCTGGTAAACAAGGCAGGAGTCATGTTCCCCAGAGAGAGACCCTGCCAGAGGCATGACCGCAGAACTGAGGCATCAGGGGTACGGGAGGGCACCCGCAGAGGCAGCCCAGGGCCAGGAAGCCACACATTGGCAGTGGTCAGAATCTGGGGGTCACCCCTATGTCTACCTGCCTCCAGCACCAGCCCTCTCACTCTCTCTGGAAGACCAAGCATCCCAGCCCCTCCCACCCCACCCCAGGCCCCCTCTCTACCGCCCAGAGTTCCCACTGGGGGAGTATGCCCCTGCCCCCCTACCCTCCCACCCCAGGCCCCCTCTCTACCGCCCAGAGTTCCCACTGGGGGAGTATGCCCCTGCCCCCCTACCCTGGCGGGGCTCAGCAGATGTGTGTCACCAGACCGCTGGCTGTGGATTAGTCTTAAAGAAGCGATGCAGGTGTTCAAGCCAGAACACAAATCATCTTTGAGAAAAGGTTGAAAGGCTAGAGAATAGTAGCAGGGGTCACTGCCCTACCCATCACTGAGACTGAAGAATTACTAACAAAGGCTCGCGCTGGCTCCAGCCAAGGAGGGGACAGGGAGTGGAACCCTGCAGCCCCACACGTCAGGCGGCCGCTCAGAGCGCCCTCCTCTGCGCCTCACTGGGTGCCTGCAGTGTGCTGGGCCGGGCCCCAGTGAGGCTTGCAGGACAGTCAAGCATGACCCTTCCTCTAATTCCCGGGGAAATGTCTCCCTGGTCTCCATCTGCTGAGCAAGGTGGCCGTGCGAGCCCACCCAACCCCACTTCTCCGCTCACTCCTCCTTGAAGGCACACAGGGCTTTGGAGTGAGCCCAAGGGCTCTCTCCAGGTGGCCTCAGGTACACGCCCTACCTGTCCAGGGCTGTCCAGTGAGCAGAAGGCATTCAAGCTCTCCCGGGGCTGGTGTGGCCTGGGGGGGTTCACGGGGGCACCCAGTACTGCTGTTGTTTTGCCTCGAGGGGCAGAGATGGGGAAAGCCTTGCCACAGGTGGTGGGTGAGCCCTGCACCTGCATGCCAAGGAGGGAAGAGGTGACCTGAGGCTCTGGAGCCAGACACCACGTTTTGAGCCGGGGCGCAGAGCCAGAGCGCAGTCAAGGAATTAGATGAAAATTGCATTTCTCCTTGGGAACCTGCTCCGGGCCTCAGTCCTTTGTCCCTGGCAGTGACGAGTAGCCTGGCCGCTGGGCTGGCTGTGGGGGGGAGGGGGACTTCGTGGGCCCCGGGCCCTGTCTTGCTGCTGTCTCCTTATAGCTGGGTCTTCTGTCTCCCAACAAAGGCAAATTCCGGGAACAGTTCAAGGCGGCCTTCTCCTGCTGCCTGCCTAGCCCGGGTCCCTGCGGCTCGCTGAGGGCCCCCAGCCCCCGCTCCGCTGCCAGCCACAAGTCCCTGTCCTTGCAGAGCCGGTGGTCCGTCTCCAGAGTCTCCGAGCACGTGGTGCTCACCAGCGTCACCACGGTGCTGCCCTGAGCGAGCAGGCCTGGGCTGCTGCTCCCTGGCTGGGCTGTCCCTCTGCTCCCAGGGCACCAGCCCCCACTGCTGGACATGGTGTGTGGCCAGCTTCAGTCCTGGTTTTGTGTCTGACTCTGAGGAAGTCACTTTCCTTCTCTGAGCTGTGTACCCTAAGCAGGACTGATGCGAACATGAAGCATGCCGAAGAAAGTAGAAAGCGCTTTGTAAAGTGTTGTGGGCAAGACTATCATTGTGCCCCCTCACCTGGCAAAACCCACGGCACCATCCACCCCCATCACCCTTGCAGAGGCTGGCCTTCTTCCCAAAGACTCCTCTCCTACTTAATTACCAGCCTTTCCTGGAGTCTGTCCTAAGAGTCCCAGCAGGCATTTCCAGCTGGTCTACCGTCTCCCTAACGCCCAGGCTGCACAGGCCAGCCGCTGGTGCCCTGTGAAGTAACCGGGGCCCAGCCCTCCCCCAGCAGGCACAGGAGCACAGCTTCACCCTCACCAGGTGCGAGTGCCCGCACCACAGACTGGCCCCTCTTGGCTTTGTGGTATGACAAAACATCTCTGTGTGGCCATTTGGCATGGATGCCAGCAGCCGGAAGCAATTGTAATTAAAAGACTGGCACTGAATGTTCTCTTTCCTTGTCACTGCACAAAATCTGCGCTTCTTAGGTAAGGAGGGAGGTGGAGAAGCAGGAGGGGAGAGGCTGGGATGCCAGGATTTGCTCAACCACCGCCCATCCCCTAACACACAGGCCCCAGATGGGCTTCCCCCCAGGCCTGAGTGTGTGCGGTGCCATCCTCTGACACCCAGGACCTTGATCTTTGACATATCTGTCAGCTTACAGGCCCAGTGGCCTGCAGCAGGTAAAGCGGGCAGTCTGGGCAGACAGCAGACTGATGTACTGTTATCTTCACCTTCTTGGAAATCAGGGCTTGCCAATTATTTTCTACGAATTCAGGATAAAAGAGAAAGGCAGACTTGGCTAGACATACTCCTTCTGCCACCAAGACAGAGAGAGGCTGCCAGAAACCCCGGTCTCTGTTGCCAGGGCGGGAGGTGGAACAGTCTGAAGTACTGCTCTGAGAAGCGGGGCCCAGCTGGCAGAGGCCGGCCCCCCCGGTCTGCTTAGCTTGATTAATGAAGCTGCTGGCTCTCTGATCTCACCCACCAGGAGGTGGGCAAACACGGGCCTGCCAGCAGCCGGGTCCAGGAATGTTCGACAACCCCCAGAGCAGGAGAAAGGTGTGATCTAGCACGGCACCTGGCCCTCCAGTGACTCAGTGGCCCAGCTCTCGTGGTCATTTCCACAGGTGTTGCCAGGTAGATGGGCTGTCCATGCCGTGCCTACTCCTGCTGGCCTTAGGACCCAAACTGCTTCCATGGTTCATAACCAGGGTTGGAGGTGCCATGCGTGGCATGAGGTGGGCTGGCTGGCACTCAGGCTCAGAGCCAACAAGGGGCTCATGCCCACAAGGATGGACAAGCTCCCGGGAACCTCACCCCCTGAGCACAAAGGTGAGAGACTGACTGGCAGTGCGGTAGAGGTGGCCACTGCCCCGTGGGAAGCCAGGAAGAGCGGCTCTCCCTGATGGCCGAGTGCCCCACTCTGCCGGCTACCAGAGGGTCTTGCACCTCTTCTCAGGGGCTCCTGGTGAACTGGAAAAAATTCAGGGAAGATGACCCGATGCTAAGGGGAGTGGGCACAGTGAAAGTTGCTGGAGAGCCAGGAATGTGGAGACCAGGGAAGGGAGGAAGTGGGGGAGCTGTCGTGGGTCCTAGTAGTGAGGGTCGACCTGCAGATAAGCGATGTTTATTTCTGGTGGCCCAAGTGAGAAACCCACAGCCAGTGGGTAGGGTGTTCAAGGTGGGAGGATTTGGTATCTGCCCCGGGCAGACATTTCCATTAGTCAAAGGAGGACACAGGCTGGCCAGCAGAGACCGGACCAGTGGCACCATCGGGGGTTGCCGGCTCTGGGTCAGGGAACTGGGCTCCACCTAATTCTAGCACAGCAGCAGCCCAGAGAATGGGGTGAACTGGCCGCGCCTGCCAGATCTGCTGCACCCCACTGAGCTCCAAAATAGTCATGGTGACTTCACCCACTACTCACTGCAGGGAGCAGAGCCCTGCTTTCTTGTCTTCATTCCCCAAAGCAAAAGGATCACCACACCATTACCCATGATAAGGCCCCCAGGCAAACCAGAACATCTGTGTCTTGGCTTTTGATTGAAATTTTGTCAGATCACTGTAGACACTCGGTGTAGACTGGTTATCATGCTGATCTGAAGATCCAGCTGGCAAGTACAGATGTCTGTGCTTAGTAAAAGCTATGACTTAATAAATGCAGTGTGTCTACAAGATAAAACTAGGGCTTGAGACAAATAAAAAGGCCACACTGTAAAAAGCTGAGTGGCTGCTCCCAGCCCGGAATGCCAGCCTGTGTGAAACAGCTTCTGGAGCTGACCCCCAGGCAACACCGACTTGACCCCCACAAGCCCACACTTCAACTTCACCATGGTGACTGGAAACAGCCCCCTGTACTGCTCCTTCCTGCAAGGTGCGGGACCGAGTGTGGACCCACACTCACCGAATTCGAGCCGGTGAGTACTGAGGGCCTGAACCTCGAGCTGGGGAGGGTGGTGGGAAGCACGGAACTCCAGCATGTTACCCTTTTATTGAAGATTACAGTTGCACTGAACTTTTGGCCCCAAATGAAAAAAATGCAAATAAAAACAGCATTGGCAGTGGGAGATGGCAAGTGTCCCCTGGAGACTGAAGCCCAGTGGAGAGTGGCAGGCAAGTGAGGGTCCAAGCTGCAGAGGGCAGCAACCTGGCCAAAGATGCCCAGACAGCAGATGCCCAAGCTCCCCGAGCGGGGAGTCCCCAGGCCGCTGGACGCTCATCCCCACAGACACAGAGGTGGTGGGTCCATGCCACCAATCCCCTGGCCACTCTCTCACACATGGGCAGATTCCACTCTGGAGAAACTGACGGTCAGTCCGCCTGACGGGACAGCGGGGTGAGGGCCACAGGTGCTAGTGTAAGTGCAGATGCACACTGCGGCAGAAAGGGCAACTGGAGGCTGCAGCCCGGCGAGTGGACCCCACTGCAAGGACTGGCATCTCCTGCTCTTGGCACAAGGCTGTGCCATTAAACGCTCAGAGTCTGAAGGACACTGAACTTCCTGTCTTCTCGCAGGTCAGGCCCCCTATGGCCTCAACCCAGCATCCCACTATTGGGTGGTTCCCAGCCCTCTTGGGGAACAGGGCTGCATCAGGCAAGGCAGAAATCTTTTTCTAGGAGGGGCAGTTAAAGAAGCCCACATGCTTCCCCCCACCCCCTTGAGGGGCTGGGATAGGTCCCCTGGTGCGCCCCACTCTGCGGATGGGTGGGGTCAGAGCATCCGAGACGCCGTCATGGTGATGAAGTCCTCGAAGCTGAGCCGGATGTTGCCCTGCACAGCTGTGTCCTTCTCCCGGAAGGCCTCGGTCAGCACCTGCAGCTGGGTGCACACCTGGATGAAGCGGTCCAGCTGCATGGCAGGATTGGCAGAGCGCGGGCAGTAGCGGGAGACCAGGAGCTGGGTGAACTGAGGGCTCAGGTTGTAGCCCATCTGGGACAGAGCTGGGATGGAGGGGCGCACAGAGAAGACAGAAAACCTCTGTGAGCACCGCAGCCAACTAGGTCCACGGAACAGAGCGGTTCGGGAGCTTTGAGGGGCTGGGCACCAAGGCAGAAGGAGCTCAGAAGCCTCAGGGGCCTGCCCAAGATGGCGGGCGCACCCCAGAGGCACCGTGTGGCCACTCCCTCAGCAGGAAGCCCCTAACCCTCTTCCTCCAAGTCTCCGTCACTGTTTGTCCAGTTGGGGGCCAGTGCATCTCGCGGTGCTCACTCTGGCTTGTCTGCACTGCATGGGGGGGCCCGAGCTCCATTCTACAATGGACATAATGCTTACCTGGAGTCATAGTAAAGGTTAAAGGAGATGACCGCATAAAGCACTGGGCACAGTGCCTGGCATCTAAGAAGCACGCAGGAAGTGTTACTTGTTAAACATAATAAAACCACCACCTTGCTCACCGAGGCAGTCGGCGACTACAAGGTCACAGCCGGTCACACCTCCACTTGGGGCGCTCCCCTCCATCCTCGCTGCAAAACCAAGCAGCTCGGGCTAAAACCTTAGCTCCCCATGTGCTACGAGAAGTTGCCTATACCACGCGTCTCAGCTTTCTCATCTGAGAGAGGGTAATAATGAGGGGTTCTTCGCCCAAGGCTGGGGGTAGTAAACTCCCTGAAACCCAGAGAATGAATGAGGCCCAAAGAGCTGACCACTGGGTCTGGCGCCTAGCAGGTGTTCAATAAATACTAGTTTTGTTGTTTCATTGTTACCCAAATCCTGATAGGACCTGGCACAAGGGCCAGGGATCATGCAGATCACCTCCTTGCCCCGTCACCAGGCACAGACATGTTGAGCTCACCCCCACCACGACCTCCTCAGTCTGACTGATGCCTCCAGCCAGCACAGGGCTGGGCACCCTGGGGTTCTTATCACTCACTAACCACCTTCTCTAGAACCAGAATCAGGGCCAGACCTGGAGCTGGGATTTCAGGTTACCCAACTGCTACTCTCAGACCCAACTGCTGGGGTGTCCTGCACTTGGAAAGGAAATTGAGGGGTGGGCAGTGGGTCTGTGCTGTGTGTGGCTGGACGCATGGCAGTTAGCCAGAGACTAAGGAAAACACCGGACTCTGCCTTCGGAGTCTAGACAAGCCTCCCTGCCAGTCCCCACCGCGGCCCTCACCTTGCTGCAGCTCTGTGGGACTGATGGAGCCTGAGCGGTCCCGGTCATACTGCTGGAAGAGGTTCTTCCACTGCTGGATGAACTTCCACAGCGCTGAGAAACCGTAGACATCAATACGGCCAGACTTGGTCTTGTCAAACATGTCTTCAGGGAGGGAAGAAAGGCTCAGAACTGGGGCTAAGGCTCCTCCAGTACCTTCTCGCCAAGCCGAAGGGGCGACTCCCCAGAACCACAGGCCTGAGGCCCAGATGTCCGTGCCCAGACAGACCCTCGTCAAGACCTGCACCAGCTGCCCACCCCGGCCACTTCCGCCCCTTCCAGAACTGGTGTTCTCTGCATCCCTCGTCTACCCCTCCCCCATCTCCTTTCAGGGCCGGGTGTCACTCTGTCAAATGGGAAGCTGAGTTAGCCTGTGACTCAGCAGGGTCTAGAAGTCGAGGGAGAAAAGTTACGAAAAAAAGCTCTTATTCAAGGGGGGGGGTCTCAGCTTGAATCCAGTTTTCTATTTAAACCTTACCTGGCCAAGGGATTTCTCCTCAGAACAGAGGCCCACCTGCCTACTGACAGGTATCAGGTGACTCTGATATCAAAGGCAGGGTGTGTAAATGGCTTTGTGAGTGTCTGAGGAGGGAAGGAGGGAAGGAGGGAAGGAGCTCTGTGTCCATGTCAGAAGCCGGGGTGGTGCGGGGGAGGTGGACTCACTTATCATCATGAGGCACGTCTCGTCATTGAACGAGGACCAGTTGGAGTTGACCAGGGCCTGCTTCAGCTCCTTGATGGAGATGTAGCCACTGTGATCGGAGTCCACTGACTGGAACCAGGAGTAGGCCTCAGGGTCCACATTGGGGGGAACGCCACCTGCAGAAAATGGTGCAAACCGGAAGTCAGACCCAGGCCTCAAGGCCAAACCACAGACATGCTGGACAGGCCAGCTTCATGCTTGCTGCCTGCCTATATGTTTCCCCTACCCACAAATCCACCCAGCCCCCATTTCCCCCAGGCCCACATCCTTCGCCCAGTGGAAGAGGACCTTCGGTGTAGATGCACAAGTATCTGCAGTTGATTTCTGCTCCATGAGTCCCTCAGGCTTTTCCTACAGTGCCCACCAGTCGCTTCTCTATTTGACTGTGTCTAAAGAACAGGGAGTCCAGTGGATTAAGGATGGTCTGAAAAGGGGGGGTTACCTCTTCCCCAGAGAATGGGAACTGGAAAGGTCTGGTGTGCACCTGACATGCACAAGCCAGAGACAAGCATTTTGAGTCACAGGAGCACAAGGCTCTGAGGTGGGTACCGCGCCCGGCCCCCCCGCCCCTGGCAGTGGCAATCTGGTCTCCACAATAAGGGGCTATCAGAGCCCTGGAGTCACCGCACTCCCCCCATCGCCCTCCCCCGTCACCTCAGTGCACACCCTGTGACCCCTTCTCATCGCATGTCTCAGGGAGTGTCCAGTTCGGCCAGTTCCCTGCAGCCCCATCTCCTCCTTGCTCTTACTTCAGCTGCCCTGGGTTCGACATCGCTCGCTTGGATTGCTGCCAACAAACAAAAAATCCCTGACCAGGCGACCCTTACAGCTTGTCTTCACCACCCTGCTGCTGCTCTCGGGTCACCCTGGTAAAACTGTACTCTGTTCTCGTCAGTTTGCCTCCACCCCAACTCAAAACTCCTCAAAGGCTCCCACTGCCTACAAAACCAAGTAGCCTTAGAAGAGCATTCTGGTTCCCCTGCAAGGAGGTCAACTACCTACGCCTTCACTCTGCTTCCCACTGGCCCCCTCAAGCCTCTGGTCTACCCAGTGAAGTGTTACAACTGCCCTCACCTACCGCTGCCCACCAGCCTTCCTGCACTCTGCCACCTCGGAGCCATTTCCTACCCAACCGCCAAGACGCAAAACGCTACTGCTGTCACACGGCCGCCCCTATCGGCCCCTGGGCAGGCTTCTTTCCTTGCTCCTTCAGACCCCTCCTCCCTGGGGTCCTGGCCAGTCTACTGTATGCCTGTTCTTTTCCCGCTGCCTTCCAAGTCAGACTTGGTACAACCTGCCGGCAGGAACCTAGCCTAACTCATTTCTCTCCGGGGCTGGCACAGACATAATAGGAAGGCATTTGATTCCCGCGCCCTAAGTTTCTGAAGATTCTAGCACTGGTCTCAAGTCAATCCCTGTCCCTTCTTTTGCAGCCTTGGTTACTTAAAGTCTCCATGTCTCAGTTTTCTTATCTGTAAAACGAAGACGCAATGTATCTCATTTGTAAGTTTATTGTGATGGTACAGTGAATATATGAAAAGATACACTAATATATGAAAACCCCTAAGTCACTACCCGGCACTATTATTGGTGGTCTGTCGTGGTTCAAAAGCTTTGTGTCTGTTAAGAGTGAGCAGCGGTATGTTTCTAAGTAACTGCATGTGTGTCCAAGGATGAGGGAAAGACCTCATCATTGGGAACGGGAAGACGTGCTGAGTAAGCTGGGGGGCAGGCAGGTGGTGGTGGCTGAAGGTGGACAAGCACAGAGGTCTCTCAGGAAAGAGCAATGTTGGGGCATCTTATAGCATTTACTCAGCAGCTGTCAGAGCTAACCGCCATGGAGAGGGCCCTTCCCAGGCGCGTGTCAGAGACAGCCGTGCAGCGTGGGGCTCCGAGCCCTCTGCTCAGTCCCAGAGGTGAGGTCAGAAGGAAAAAGGTCTGCCAGACTAAAGGACTAGTCTGCCCTCCCTGGTGAGAAATCTGGCAGCGCCATCTCCTCCGTAAAAGAGCAGCGGGCCCGGCTGGTGGCACAGCAGATCAAAGCATGGCATTATGAAGCTCTCAGAAGCCACCGCAGCAGAAGTTCGATCCCCAGCCAGGGAGGTGACCCACATGGCCAGCAGGCCTCTCCTGACCCGCCCGTGCTCTCCTCAGCGGATCCGCCTGTTCTGCTCCCCACTGTCTCTGCTGAATCCTCTCACTCACCACACTTCTGGCCCATATCCCAGTTCTGTAAGCATCAATTAATAAATAAATCTTTAAAAAAAAAAAAACAGTCGTGGCACCGTGGGGCTGGGACATGGCCCCAGGCGGGAGAGTTTCCGTAGTGTGCATAATCTGTGCAGTTTTCACAGAAGAGCTCAGGCTCTGGAAACAAAGAATTTGGATGCAAATCCTGGCTCTGATCTTTCTAGCTCCTATGACTTTAGGCAAATGCTTCATTTTCTGAGTATTGATTCTCCATTTCTTAAATGCACCCAGGGCTGTTGTGATGAGTAAATGAGGTAACAGCAAAACGGAGGTTGGAAAAAAATAGTGACAGTGTGCAGTCACTTCCCAAAGGAAGGAGGCTCGTTCCGGGCCTGAAAAGGTGATGGGGAGCTGAGGGCGCACGCGCAAGTGGCAAGGGCTGATGGGGGTGAGGGGCAGGGGCTGGGGAGGAGGCCAGAGGCGCCTTGAGTCCCCAGGGCCTTGGGGTCCTTCCGGTGGGCAGCAGGGTACCTTTCACGGCCAAACCTGACTTGCAGCGCAGGGCGCTTAAACTGAGAGCCTGGGTCGGTGCGCCGGGGCGGCCCACGAGGCTGCAGCGCAGTCGCCAGGGTCCCAGGGTCGCACTTTAAGGGGCGCCGCTGCCGGAGTCCCAAGCTGCCCCCAGGAGGCCGCAGAGGCTGAGCAGCTGAGAGGCCTAGCGCGTCTCTCCTCTCCTCTCTAGCCCCAGCGCCCACTCTGCTGCAGGCCCTGGAGGGCTGCTTCCAGCCAGGGGCACCTTTCCCTGCTGTGGCCTCAGGTCGGCCCAGAGACAAGGTTTTAAAAGGATGAGGAAATCCGCTGAGAAGCTGCTGAGCTGAAAGTCAACAGAGACACTCTGGGCCCTGACAAGATAAATGTCCCCGGCTCCGTGCTTGGAGCCCCAAGGTCTGTGCATTTCCCACAGGACACCTGCCTGGGTGCCCAGGCAGGGTCGCTGGCAGTCCACTCCCTGGGGCCTGCCCCGCTGCTGGCTTGTCTCTTGCGGGGGTAGGGAGGGCTGGGCAGTCACCTTCCTTGACCCCGTCTGAGACCACTCGGAAATCTCCACTGTGTGAGGCCATCATGCCCAGCACCTCGGGTAAGGTGTGTCCACGCTAACCTGCCGTCACGTTGGGCTGGCTATGCCGGGAGTAGTCCTCTCACACAGTGTGTTTATGAAGCCTCTGTGTCAGCTGCGCCGGCGTTACCGGCACCTTCTCACTGAATTCCTATTCACAACCCTATCAACATTCTCCCGCCTTATAGATGTCGACACTGATGCTTAAAAGGTGAAGCAAACTGTTGTGGTCAGGAAGCTGTCTGATCTCAGAGGCCCAAACCCTGAACAACTAGGCCATCTTCTCTTTCTACAGACAGTGGTCAGTCTCCCTCTCAGCAGTGGGGCTGCCCGTGGTGGACTCCAGTGGCTTTCCGCCCCCGCCCTGCCTTCCCTGTGAGACTGTGTCGCTTGCAAAGCCTCTCCAGAAATGGGCGGCAGGCTTAACCAGGCAGGAGTTTAGGCCAGCAGAGTGTGAGCAGAGGGAGTGCGCTTCAACGCAGAAGCTCTCAGAGGCACTGTGCCCTGCATTCACTCGGCTGCCCTCGAATCTGCCCCAGGGCAGCACACCCCAAAGCAGGGCTGTTCTCCAGCCTGAGTCCTGGAAGGACAGGTGGAACAGAGCTTCTCAGCAGGCAAACCCACAGATGCCACACATAAGCAAGAGCAGATAAGCATGAGCAAGCGAAGAAACAGATGTCTGCTGCTGTAAGCCAGGAAAGATTTTGGAGTTGTTACTAAGCGAAACTGACGCTTCCCCTTCTGCTGATCAAAGACAAAGTTGTAAGCAGGAGGCTAAGGTGCCAGGGGCCGGCAGCTGGCTTGCCCACAGGAAGGGCAGGGATGGGCCCTGGATAACACAGAACAAGGTCAGAGGGGCCTAGTCCAGGGGCCCCACTTACCTGGAGGAGGTCCCTGTCCATAAGGACCGGGATGCTGGGCACCATAGGAGCTTGGAGGTGGCTGTCCATAGGGGCCTCCTGGGGCTGCACCGCCATACGGTCCTCCTGGAGTTCCAGGGGGGAGCCCCCCAGGGTTGGGGGGTCCATAAGGCCCTCCACCGGCTGGTGGTCCATAAGGCCCCCCAGGGGCAGGCCCTCCTCCATAGCCACCACCCGGGGGTACTCCGCTGCCATACTGGCCTCCGCCATGGGGGGGTCCAGGATAATAGCCACCCGGAGGGGCTCCAGGAGCTTGTCCTGCCTGCAAGAAGAGCAAGAGGTCGGTCAGAATGACAGGGCCGAAACTAGCCAGTGCGGCGAGCTGGAGTTCCAAAGCACTGCCACTGCCATTCTTGCAACTGATCCTGCACACAGCATGGAATTAGGATGCCATCGCTCAGGTGGGGAACCTGAGGCTTCTGCAGGAGAAACAATTTGCCCAGGGCCACACTGTCAATGACCTGCAGCGTCAGGGCCGGAGTCCTTCCCTCCTGGCCCCCCTTCCCTGCACTCCAAGTGACATCATGTCTCGCTTGCTGCTTCACCCCCAGCTCCCCATGTAGAATAAATGGCTAGTAAATACTGTATAATAAGTCGGCAAATGAATCAAATAGAATTCCGAATCCTCACCCTGTGGCAATCCCAGCTCTACCTACAGAACTCACGCTGCAAACGTGGTGTGCACCACACTCCCCAGACCCTCTTCAGGCTAAGCCAGGTATCCGTGCCATGGGTACCACTGCATGCCTTGCTTGCCCTTCAATGCAAAAACACTTCCCCTTCTTACTCGGCTCTGTGAGACAGGCAGGAGAGATGCTATTCCTACGACAACCCAGTACATGGTCAAAAGGCAAAAAGATCAGCCATGTTTAGCTTCTGTCACTAACTAGACACATGACTTACCTTCTCTCAGCCTCACTACCCTTAGCTTTAAACGGGAGTAACAATAGTGCCTACCTCCCAGGCAGATAAGTGAATGGAACGACATGAGTCACACAAATCACCTCGACAGAATAAGCACTCAGTCCCTGTTCAGCTATTCATGACACCTTTCCACAGAGGAAGACATTCAAGTCCAGAAAAATTACAGACTGTATGGGCAGGCTGGGGCATTCTCTCTCCTACCCACGTGTCTGTGCTACCAGCCAGGGCCCCCGACCCTGAGTGCTCGGCGCCATCTCCCTAAGTGGCCAGCACAGGCCGCCGGCAGCACACAGCCCCAGCACATCTGCAGACAGGCTGAGCTCAAGAGGACAAAGCACGGCTGGGCTCTATTCTGAGGCTGGCACCACCACCGAGACATGCTCTGAATGAACCTGCATGGTATCCAGGGGCCTGGCCAGTGACAGCCTGGACTTTCTCTTTGATGTGCTTGATACACAGCTTACTTTCAAGGCTATGGCCAAGTTCACATTTCACCTAATAGGGCCTGCTTGTTCAAGGAAAGGCAGCTTCTTGAGAGGGGCCGGCAGACACGCCGCCTTGCCACTCAGTATTTAGGGAGCTCTCCCACCCTGGAAGCTGTCAAGAGTTGGGAGCACAACTCCTTCACAGACAATGAAGTCACAGGAAAATCTCAATTCAAATTCTGCTCTTCCAGCTTAGTTTATGATTGTGGAGCTTATGTTCTCTAAGGCTTCTTACCTCATAAATAAGATATAATATCACCTTTCTCATTGGATTACACTGTAGGTTACAAGAAATAAATGCAGCAGAATTTTGTTAATTTAATTTTTAGCTAAGGAATCTCTTTTAACATAAAACTTGAAAAACTGATAAAAGAAGAAAGTTGCTCTGGTTGAAGCAAGGTGAGAATTCCCAGCTCCGTGGACCCCTCCCTTGCCGGGCTCTGAGAGAGCACTGCAGAAGCTCAAGTATCTGAAAAGCGGGTTTGCAAAACATTAATACAAGGGCTAAAGTTCTTAACAACAGTGCCAGGCATCACGTAAGTGAATCCTGAATCATCGCTGCTGTTGTCCTGACATTATATATTCCATACGTATTACAAACTCTGGAAGAGGGGGGACACAGAGAAGCATTCTGAAGGCTCTCACAGCAGTCCCGGTAACACCTAACGCAACAGCAGGAAGTAGATGTTTAAGGTGGACACACGGGCCAAGAGCATGGGACTGCCAAGGGAAGAGGGTGAAATCATGGAGGGTTTCCATGAGAGCAGCATTTGCGCTGCTTAAAGAATGACAAGTATTCCCAGGGCGGGTGGAGCGGTGCGATGGGAGAGGTGCCCAGGAGGGCACAGGGTTTACCCAGCCTCTTCAGTTTCCTGGTGGGGACACTAAGGCCGAGAGCGGGGAAAGGACTTACTCCCAAGTCCACTGGGAGTTGGAGGCAGAGGTGGAACTAGAGACTGCCCTCCCCATGCCCCCGCACCCCATATCCTTGCCCCAGGACCCCAACCACCTCCTGCTACACTGCTCTTTCCTTAGAGTCAGGTGGGAAGAGGAGTGAGGATGCTGCGGAGTCTGGGCGCACCCACAGCATGTGCTGGACACCGCTCCAGGGAACAGCTGCTCCACCGTAGGGCCAGTGAGCAGAGCCAGGCTACCAGAGAGCATCGAGGCACAGCCTTGCCCTCAGGCCAGCGAAGCGGAGGCTGCCAGGTCTCTGGCTTTCAGGCACCACCTTCCAGGGGACTGCTAGGCCCCATGCAGCCTGGGGGCATCGAAGCCCTTTTCTTCCTGCACTGCAGCAGGGCCCTGGAAGTGTCCAGTCTACAAAGTACTTTCATGTGCACACAAACGCTACTGGCAGAATCCTACCCACAGTGACCTAGGAGAAAAAAGAAGGTATTAGTAGGTCTATTTTCAGTTAAAGACCCTGAGGTGCACAACTGTTAAATGACCTCCTTCAGCAAGCATCCACAGAGTGACCACGCCATCAGCTCTGCTAGGCCTGGGAGCACAAAACTAAATAGAGTCGATCCTTGAGGAGTCCACAGGTAATGCTGATGTGATGTGATCGATGCCATCTGAAACTCTGCTTTAAATCTGGCAGAGGAACTTGTTCTGTTGGTTGAACAATAAATGAACAATCAAATGAACAAATGCATGATGTAAGTGAAGGAAGGCCTCCTGGAGGAGGTCAGATGTTGACTCTGGCCTGGCACAATGCACAGAAAAAGTAGGGAAGGACATTCCAAACAGAGATGAAAAACAGACACAGACCTACCAGCAAGCAGGGAGTGGACGGGGAGGGACTAGGGCTACAGGTACCCCAGAAAGGCAGGCTTTCCACTGCCTTGTCCAAGCACCCACCCACGGCACCTCAGTTACTGGTGAGTAACTAGGGTCTCAGAGAAACTTCTATCACTTGCCAGGCAACAGTGGGCCTCCCTCTTCACCCAAACTCCAGGGCCCAGTACAGCGCCTGGCACCTGCAAGCCTCCATAAATAGCTGAACAAATTAGTGCCACTTTGAAGGGTTTGCTGGAAAAAACAGAGCTCCACAGAAGCATTTCCAGTAGGGAAGGAACGTGATCAGAGCCTTGTTTAGAAAGTTAACCAGCAGCGGTGTGAAGGAGAATCTGGGGGGGCGGCCCAGGTGCTGGGCAGGCAGGCACAGGGCTGCAGCCAGACAGCAGACTCGGAGACAGAGAGAACACGATGGATTCTGAAGCTATTTCAGCGATAGACTAGACATGACTTGGCGGCTAATTAGATTAGGGAAGCGACGGGGAGTGAGGTTTGGAATGACTCAGGTTTCCAGCTTGCACGAAGAGAAGAGAGGAGAAGCACCAGCAGGAGCCGATTCCAGGCTGGGGACCTTGGGGAAGGTGGTTGTCCGGAAGGTGGTAAAGTTTTAAACTACAAATGAAAACCATAATCTCCAAGCCGCCAGCCCTTTAGACAAAGCATTTCATGCTGACAGACACAAGATTGTGAAAGAAAAAAAAAAAGGCAAGAGCGTTCTGTAACCTGATTTCCAAAAAGTCACAGAAAACTTTCCCTAGGTCCTCACTGATTGCAAATAAAATTACATTTGATACATTGGGGTTGCGGGAGGAACCATTAACATTTTACTGAGCCTCTGCTAGATCCTTCCAGTTCATTTAGTGCTCCCTGATCCTCAGTCCTGGGAGGTAAGTGCTATTATCTCCACTCTACAGACGAGGAAATCAAGGTGCAGAAAGTTTAGTAATGTGCCTAAGAACAGCGAGAACAAATGCACTGGGACTAAAACAGGCTCTGTGTGACTCCAATACACTATCCTCTCCTGTGTGTTCACTCAATAAATGAGTGGGCAGCTACCCTGTGCCAAGGATTGTCCTACATAGCTGTCAAACACAGTGGATTTCACTGTGAACGGGGTGCAGGGGAAAGAGCTAGATTTGGGGATCTGACAAGGCTTCAAGTCCAGAAATCAGGAAGATGAAAAGAAATTTATTCTTTTTTCAACCCAGCACCCAATCTGACAGCCACAGTGCTGAGAGTGCCGAAGGCCCTCCTGCCCAACCCCTCAGTCACTGACAGATTCCGGGCAGCATAACCTAGAATCTGTTTGCCCCCCACAGGTGGTGTGAAGCTCACCTCCTCCTAAATAACCCACGCAAAAGTCCAATATTTTCTCGTGGCTCTGAGGGCCCATCTTCTATGCCCAAGATCCTGGTGGAGCCCAGAGCCAGCAGAGCATGGTCCATGCTGGTCCTGCTGGGGAAGAGGGTGGCTGGCATCACGGAATCAAGCCCGGGGCCCCAGAGCCAGCCCTCAGGTGCCCATGGGAGGAGGCTAGAGATCATCCGGAGGGGTTAAACAATCCCAAGAAGACAGAGGCGGGGTTCGGGTGTTCACTGCAGCGCATCATCAAATATTTAAAGGCCAGAGACCTGCTGCCAGTAGAGCGAGCAGGAACTGTCCCAAGACCTCAGCCACACCTCTGTGCCGACAATCCCAAATCCTTCTCCCAGCTCCAGCCCACAGTTCCTCTCTCCTGGCCTAGCTCTCCAGCTCTGCTCCCCCTCTGTGTTTCCACCACAGGGACTGGCACCTCCTTCCCTCAGCGGCCCGAACCCAAATCCTTCCCAGGCACACCCTCTTCTCTTTCCTCTCTTCTGTCACCTCGGTTAGGCAACAAATTTTCTCAATTCTACTTTCCAAATGCTTCTCACAAACATTTCACAAGGACACTGTCTCTTTCGCTTTCATGACTTCAATAACCAGAACTGGTCTCCCTGCCTCCAGGCTCTCTTGCTTTCAGCCCATTCTCAGAGGGCCCCATGGGAACAGCGCCAAAGCACAGACTAGAGAACACTCTCCCACAGCTCCCTCACTACTCTCAGGATGACAGCTCCCTCACTACTCTCACTCCCCCAAGTGGCATTCTGGGCTCTTTAGGATCTGGCCCTTGATAACCTTTCTTATACCCCCACCCTACCTGCTATTCACAACAAATTCACCCATCTCCTTAGATTCTCCTAAACACTGGGTCCCCCCACTTGCTTCCTGGCCTTGTGCTTGCTCCCTCCACTGGAATACCATCCCTTTCACCACAGCTAACTCTGGCGCCGGTGATTCTGTTTTTGGGTTAAATGTCACCTCCCTTAAGAAACCTTCCTCCTCCTTAGCCCCCCAGAAAGAGCTGGGCATCTCAGAGTTAGATATCTATCTTAGCCTCTAGCACTTGCTCCCACTTCTCACCACCCGATTCTATAAATTGTTATCTCTAAGTCTTCCACACTGAGTATTTATAACAAATACCAGCCAAGCTCTTTACATCATTATCTCATTAACTCATTTAATCTTACACTAACATTTATGACCCCATTTTAAAGAAGAGGAAATAGCCTCAGACTTTTACAAGATATTTCTGCAAGGAAAGTGTGGAGCAGGGATTTAAAGCTAAATCTCTCTGGCCTCAGAGACCAAGCTCTTAAGTACTAAAACCCATCATACTGGCTCCCCAAAGGGACCACAGGCTACTTGTGTTTTATTACCCCCAGTATTAAAACTGGAGGCAGTGGAAAATAAGTGCTTTTGACCCCTAACCACAGGCTGGACTCCTCCAGGGCAATGGACCCGGTAAGGGAAGGCAGCCTTCACTAAGCCTTTGGATGCCTGAAACAACCCATGTCCATTCTCGGAAGGAGCTCGAATCAGGGGCTGGACGAGCAGACAAAGAGTATGGTGTGTGTATGTCTGCTGGAGATGGGGTGGGCAGGAAACATTTCTTCTAGTCCAGACATTTCTGTGTCCCTTCTCCATATTTCACTCTGAGCCCGGCCAGCGTGGCCTCGTAGCAGCAATCACAGCTACACGTGCCGCCACCATGCACTGGCATGTACTGGGTGTTACCAATGTGCCAGGCTCCCTACAGCTACATCGTATTTCATGCTCATTTCAGTTCTTTGAGGTATCACTCCTCCCTTTTTATAGGTAAGGAAACCGGTACAGAGGCCTCAGCTGATAAGTCCAGGAAAATGCAACTACTAAGTAGTAGAATCCGGACTTTAGCCCGGTTCTGTGCAACCTGATCATGCAGGTTCTTCATTTTTGTCACTGCTTCTCAGATACACACAAATCACCTCAAAAAGCTTACTACAATGTAGATTTCCCCTTCCTGAGTGAACATGTTTGGGGTGGAACTCAAAAGTGTCCTTTTTTCTTTTTAAATAAGCTTCTAGGTGATTCTGGTGCAGACATTCCCATCAGAACCATGTACAGCAGCAATGCTTTCCCAAATGGTGTTCTTAGGAATGCTGGGGTCACCAAAAAAAGGACCAGGCAATAAAATAAGGGAGGGGGCCACAGTTATTTAAGTAAGTTTAAGAAATGCTGCATAGTCTCTCCCTCTCTGGCAGACTTACAGCGTGTATTAACAATTTAAGAGGCCTGTGGTAAACAAAAAGTATTCTTCTGATTTAATAAAGTATCCCCACGACCCTCTCTTCCCCATAGAATCTCCTCAGGTAGCAGTATTATTAACATCTCATAAGGCTCAGCAGTGAAGGGAGCTGGGATAACACTCCCAGGATATACTTCCTCCTAACCCCTACCTAGGCTGGTGTCTCTTTTTCTCCCAGCTCCAAGAATACAATGGAAGTTCAGGCCCCAGCCTCACCCTTTCACTTGCTATGCATGACCTTGGGCAAGTCATTTAACCTCTCTGGGCTTAGAGCACAGCTGTAAATTGGGGTAACTATTCCTGCTAGCATGCCCACAGGGCCTTCATGCCTGAGACATGGAGGTCCAGTCCTGCACAGGGCTGCCCTCCCTCAAAGGGCTCTTGTCACATGTTCTGGCATATGACGTACTCCTTTGTAATATCCACATGCTCATGCTTTCCTGTTTTTCCTATGAGTTTTAGCTCCTTAATTGGTGTGATCTTGGGCAACTCAGGAGCCTTCTCTTGTCTTCAGCTTCCTCTTAAAAATGAGGTGACTATTTTGAGGGCCCTCCCAGCATTGACCTTCCAGGAAGTCTAGTAAAAATCAAAACACTAAAGGGTAACACATATCTTTTTTTTTGGCTTGTCACACGCTTAGTAGTACCAGATGCTTTACAATTACTCTTGATAACAGCTCTTTAAAATGGACCCTATTATTTGGTCCGTTTTACAGAGGAAGAAACTTTGACTCAAACTAAGCAGTGGTGCCAAGGTGTGGACCTTCCTGACTGCAAACTACACTTAACCACCCTATCATTCTGTCAGCCAACAAAGGATTTCTGCTGCAGAATCACCTTGCGATGGTGATCTTGGCTGGATCTGAGTGGGCGGACAAGTGGGTAACAGCCATTTGTCCACAGCCCCTGGTTCTGTGGCCTAACTGCCTAGTGACTTCGACTAAGTTCTGTGTCTTTTCTAGGTTTCACTTTTTCTATGTGTGAAATGGAGGTGTCAGGCTAAGTCAGAAGTCAAACCAGATCACACGTGGCGCCTGCGAAAACCACAGGTTCTCCTGATTAATCTGACGCAGTACATCAAGGCGGTATTTTCACCCAACACCCCAAACGATGCTGACAGAACCAGTATTCTAAACGTTCTGTCTGCGCCAATCAGCCAGCCCAGGGGTCCCGCGGAAGGCCTGAGAAGGTGCGGAGCCCAGAACGGATCCATTCTGGGTCTGTGGGATCCAAGGTCCCCAAATCCTGGCAAGCGCGACGTCAAAGGGGGCGCGACGCGACCTCCCAGACGTGCAGTCCTGCGTGACGTGAGACAAGCGCGACCGTCCGTCCCTGTTCCCATTTCACAGCGCGAAGCCTTGCTGAAGCAAACCTCAGCGTGGGAATGGCTCCGAGAAAGTAAAGCCGGGGGGAAGGAGGCCCGACTGGCCTTGGGGAGGCCATTACCTAGATTCGCCGGCCCCTCACACTCACCTGCCCATACGGATAGCTGGCCATGGCGACTCTGACGTCACACGTCGGCGAAGGGCGAGGCTTCCTGGCGCCCGCCTCTCATCTGGACCAGGGGCGGGGCCGTTTCTGATTGGGTGTTTGGGGCTGTCAATCCTAGACAATTGCGTCCACGGAAGTGACGTTGTAGGGAGTTGGTCGTTGTCTGCTTTAAAGGCCCGGGTAGCTAGGGTTCGGGTGGTGGTTTCTGGAAATTCTGGTCACTGCTCTGGCGCGGCTGCGCTTCCCCTCTGTGTGCTCGGGGAGACCCCGGGGATGTGAAGCCCGGATATTTAGAGACGTTTAGATGGGGTGTTGCAGGTTGTTAAAACCTGTCAAATGGGAGATTGAATCGAGGCGTAGTTATTGTCACGCCCAAGTTTCCGAGGCGGTTGCCTTGACAACGGGGAACCGCCCGCCATCTCGATAGAGGCAAAATGGAAAAGTTATCTCTAATGCCAAAACACCAAGACCTAGGTGCTTGGAAATGCGATCTGTGGGCTTTGGAGGAGAAAATATCAAGCTCCCAGAATGGGACAAAATAAGATAACATAGGGCCTCTTCCGTGGAGAAACCGAGATCCAGAGTGGCAATGATGCGCCACTACACAGGATGGCCTAGAACTGGTGTCAGTGGATGCCCAGTTTTCGCAGGAAAGTCTTGAATGGTCTCCAAAGTTGGTCAAATCCTAGTTACCAAGTGAACTAGTCGATGTGTATGTCCTTAGAGCTTGGAGGTTCAGTCTGTAGGTTTGATTAATTTAAAATTCTTCCACTTGAGCACAGATTGTCTTTTTCCTAATCACTATAGCCTCAGTACTTAGTACAGCGCCTGACACTTTTTTTTTTTTAAACAAAGTAAATGAATAGTGTCAACTCACTCCAGCCCATCTCTAGCTATCTAGACAGGCACTTTTCGAAATCACAGTGCTAATCATGCTACTTGCCCACTGGACAGTTTGCAGTGTACCTCTTCCCCTACACCTGCATGGACAAAATAACTCCCAACTTGTTATTCTGGCAGTCCAGGCCTTTCACAGTTTGGTTCAACTTCATTCTTCCAAACTTAAGCCTTATCGCCTCTAGTCTCTCTGTACTCCCAGGATTCAGGTCCACCACTTAACACTCTTGATTTGGAGTGAGGACCTCGATTTTTACCACTTCTAACTATATGATCTCGGGTGCTTATTGACCTCTCTGAGTCTTAGTTTCCTCAGCTTTCAGAAACTGTTAAGGGGAAGGATGTCCTAAAGGAACTCTGCAGAGTTGCGGACTCCACCCCTACTTCAGTGATTGGAAAAGTACAACTCCCAGCAGTACCAGGGAGAGAACTGCCAGGACCCAAGGGCAGAGCTAAGCAGGCATTTGGGACGTTGGGGGACAAATAGAGAGTGGTTTTTCAGCGGTTGCTCTGGAGAGGTAATGGCTCTCTCTCTCTCGAGCAACAGCTCTCAGACCATGTGACTGGGGGCTAGCAGTTAGTTTGGCTCCAAGTTAGCCAAGCTGGTAAGATATTCTAGTTACTTTCTATCTCTCTCTCTTTCCCTGGTTGTTCCTTTTCCTTTCCCCTTTTGGTAAATAAACCCATTACCCTTTTGTATATGCCTGCAGAACAATTAAATTTTAAACATGCGAGTGAGGACCCATAGACAGGCAGCCCAGTTCACTCTGGGCTACCCTGAAACATTATATATAAGATTTGGAAAATGAAAAATGAACTATTACATTTGCTCATGCCCACACATAGGCTCAAACCACTCTTTTCACCTCACAAAACCCTTGCCTCTCAATCCTTCAAAGTTCAGTTCCAATCTTGTTCCAATCCCATCCTTTAACTAACCCTTCCACGTTCTCCCCATCTCCAGACTTAACCACCTTTTGGCCTGTCTCCTTTTGTACTTGGTACCATCACTGTTCATATTCCAGCTTATCTTGCAAAAGAAGTTTCTTTGGTATTTCCCTGCAAACCCATTCCTGCATTTCACCTAACTTCTCAGACCCAAAGCCTGGGATCATTGTTGTGTGTCCTGTTTCTCTAAATTCTCTGCTTCGTTTCCTTTAACGCAACAATAGATGCACGTCTTCTCTTTTCTCCCTGTTTGCACGATCAGCCTACTCCAAAACACCACATGCGCTCACTACATGCGCTCCCAGCCACTCTCCCTGCTTGCATTCTTTCTTCCACGCTGTTCTTCTTAGGGCAGCTAGAGTAATTATCTTGAATGCACATCAGATCTTGTTGTTCCTCGCCTAAACGCCACAAAAGCTTCCATAAGTCGTATAATAGAACATGCTGTTGACCTTTGTAACCCGAAGTGCCCTAGACCCTGCCTGCACCTCCAGTCTCTCTCTCTCTCTCTCTCTCTCTCTCACACACACACACACACACACACACATACACACTCTCTCTCTCACACACATACACACACTATCTCCTTTTGTACTTGGTACCATCCAGTAATCTATCATCTCACTGCCTCATTTGTTTTCATACTATTTGTCTCAAATTATCCCCCTTAAAGTTTACATGTGTATTGTTCTTTCCTTACTCACGCCTTTACCCTAGTACCTAAAGCAGCCTGCCATGATCTCAGTGGAGGTCAGTATTGTTTTTGTCCTCCTCATCACCATCCTGCACTGGATGTTTCCCAGCTGTCAGGCATTGCGCTAAGTATAATGTGTGGCTCTGTGACCCTTTGAGATGGACACTATTTATTACCCATTTACAGTGAGGCGCCGAGGCTGAGAGGCTGATGAGTTCCCTGCCAGCGAAAGGGTAAGTTGGACAAGCCAGGATTTCATCCCAGGTTCACAGTCTTTTATCTGTTCTGTATTTAGTAGTTAGTAGGTCTTACCTTTGTAAGCTTCCCCACCTCTACCCTGCTAAAAAAAAAAAAAATCAGTGAGTTGAATTGTAAAATCTCTGAAAGACAGCAGTTTGCAGTCTGGGCTGAAGGTCAAGGACTATTTACCAGGAGAGAGAATAGTGACACCTGCCCCATAAACTGGGGTCACTGTGACTCACACTCATTTGATTCTACAAACTTATTAACCTGTTGAATTCCCACCACGTGCTAGGCTCTCCTCCAGGTGCTGAGGATTAAACCCTAGGAGAATTCCATGCCCACGGTCCCCTCCGGCCAGTCAAGGGCTCTTAGGAAAACTCTGCTGGTGTCTATGCTGTTTGTGCACAAGGACATCCAAGTCTTTTCTCAGGCAGACAGATATCAGCCAAAGACAGGGTCCAGAGCTGTGCCTCTGAGGACCTTCAGCAGGCCCAGGTGTGTTTGTTTTGGAGCCTGCAAGATAAAAGGGATTCAGGGTCTTCTCAAGACAAAAAAAAAAAAAATCAATCAGCTCATTTCTAAACAGCTCATTTCTAAAACCCTGGATACCTGAGGCAGACAGGGCTGGGTAAGGAAATTCTTGTTATTGTTTCAGTTTTAGCCAAAGGGGGTGGGGGGAACTTGGATTCCAGCCTTCTTTAGAGCATGGGGCACTTTCCTGAGTTCAGGGAAGCCCTGTGATTGACAGGCGCTTGGCAATAGAAGATCCTCTCCCCCAGAGATGCATCATCCCCACCCAGGCATCCTGGCTCAGCACCAAGTTCAGTATTCCTTACTGAGAAGGAATATCAGCTCCCATCTAATTATTATGGAATTAAGTCTTTGATTTCATATCCAATTCCAAAATTCAAATTCCATTTGGATGCTGTGGATCAGAGGTGACTGATTTGAAGCTTTCCACAGAACCAACAGAAAAATGAGACTAGCAGAGGTGGCATTTGGACAGACTCCCCTTGGTGATGGGGTCACATGGCGGAGAGCACCTCCATAGCTTGTGTTCTCATAGACTGCTCAGGGCAACAGAAAGGTCTGGTCTTCCCAGGCCCCATGGGAAGAAAGAGTCTAAATAGAGTCTGTTGAATTCTGGCAACAGGGAAAAGGCAGGTTTAGATTCAGAAGGCACCCAATTGGGGAGGGTTTCGCTGCAGAATAAACACACAGCTGCCTTTTCTCCATCATAGGCCACAGGGTTACTCAATTAAAGAGCCTCCAATTTATTCTTCCCTCTGTTAGTGAACTTAAAATTAGGCAAACCTGTCTCAACACGCCTTCCTACAAGACCGACCCTATTTCCCAGTCTCCCAGAACTTGGCCCGCTGTGCTCAATCATGCCTGGACCTTGGCACATGCTGTTTCCCCTGTCTACACCCAGCTCTATCCAGGCAAGGTCAGGTCCTCCGTCCAATGCTCCCCTGGCACCTGGTACTGCCCCGTCTTCATGGGAACTTCATTACATTTCATTATAATTGCCTGTTTAACTCTGCTCTCCCCATAGACACTACAGAGCAGGGACCTCATCTGTCTAGTGTGTCTCTGATTCCCTAGAGCCTAGTACAGCTCCTGGCACAAACTAAAGAGAGAAAATGGACCATCAAGTTAGACTTTGCCAATCTGCATGATCTGTGTGTTGCCTTAAAAGCCTGGATAAGACTCAGGAATGAAGATGGAAGATTATAGGATGGGAAGAAGAAATAGCTGCTCAGAAGGAGGGAAAGACTTGATGCCCTCCTTGCTTTCTCGCCAGCTTACCCAGCTCCTGAACTTATGAGCAAAATCTGTGGATTTTTTTTTTTTTTTTTTGCTGACCACAGTAGCAGAAAAGACTATAAAATTCAGCTTCCCATCTGGTTCTTCATGGTCCAAGAAAATACAGCAATTTCAACTCCAGAGAGACAAGTGCTCAAATCATGAAAGCTTAAACCTAGCCTGTCGTAGAATCCCCAAAGACTAGCATGAACTTGACTCAGGAAGAAAAGTGAAGGAAGCATCATTTACTCTGTAAGGATTGATTCCCTGGTGGCCTCAAAGCGGGAGAGTTTGATGTTTCCTTAGAATGATTTTCCTTACTGGCCTTCAAAGCGAACCTGCTCACTTCAACAGCTGGTCCGCACTTCTCTTGCTCTCTACTCATGCCAACATGCTCCTTATCGTGACGCTCATCGTCAACAAGCACTTCACAGGCCGGCTGAAGTGGAAGCTGGCCTTCCAGGGGGAGTGCTTTAGCAGCTGTACTCATCCACTGTCCAGACTGGCCACTACTTCAATGCAGAGACAATGCATTTGCTTTTTAACATCTGATGTTAGGATGGCTGGTGTGAGGTAGAATAAGAGTTGGCTCCTCCTTTATCCAAAAACAACATGTGAGGTCCTCAGGCAGGCTCCTGAGCCTGCCTGCTCTCATCCCTCTGGCCACCCACACACCTTTGCTTCTGGCATGAAAATAAACAGGGCAAAATTTCTGAAAAGCCATCCATAGGTTGGCCTTCTGGTATTTTGGGTCCCAACCAGAGAAAGGGTTGTCAGATCTGTGCTGGAAATGGCAGTTCTAGAAAGATCTGACAGTCTGCTTGAAGGCTTCAGGCTGTTTGGATAAGCACCTGGACTCGGGGTATATTTCTGAGCCTGATCTACAATCCTTCTGAAGTCTATCCAACTTAAATAAACTTTCCAGAAAGCTGAGACTACTAAAAAGACTTTCTTTGGAAGTCCCTCTGGCTGTGTCCTGTTGCTTCTCACAGGGCAGCCAGGCCATCAGGACAAGAGAGCTGGAAAGTAGAGAAACAGGAAGTTGAGACAGAAAATGTTGGTAGCAGTCAATTTGCAGTCCTCCCCTCCTCCTTCCTCCCTTCTAACATACAGAGAAGGTGGCAGCAGATAGAGCAGCAGACTCCAGGACCATGAGCTGAGCTCTGATGGGCTTGCCCAGGACTGCCTTTGTGCGGAGACAAGCCGTTTCAGAAGGCCTAGGCTGAGGTAAGGGAAACCCAGTGCATGCCAGTTTAGCCAGAACAGTCAGAGGTGCCATGTGCGGTTTCCAAGAGCTGGTGACAGGGCTGTGCGCTGCTGCAGGCAGGGTTCCATCTCATTTTCTGGAGAAGCCTTCCCTGGTCGCCTAGGACAGGCCTGGAGCCTGGCTTTCTCTTGTCTGCACAGGTTTCCCATCACAGAATGTCTGGGGCAGCACCGAGGGGCTGTACCCAGGCAGATGAATGCCCCTCAGCAGTGGGTGGCATTTCCCAAGGTGCAGCCAGACGGCAGGTCACAGGTGAGAAGTGAAGGCCATGGGTGGGGTCCCAAACACTGGGGTCTCCTTCTATAGGGAGGCCAGTAGGGAGGGGCCTGTATGAGCCGGAAGTGGGGTCTTCACCTTGGCTTTTGGCTCATTCTTCAGGAAAGATGGGGTGGGCTCCCTCTTCTGATGTTGAGAAATGTGCTGTGGCAGACAAGACACCAGGTCCAGAGGGCCAAAGATGACCCAGAAGCATCTGGAAAGGCAAGCTGAGTTAGGGACCCCTGTAGAGCAACATCCCTTAACTGCAGCAGTTGATCACAGACAGTGAAGGAAATGCCTGTTTTTGTTTGTTTGTTTTGACTCAAGGACCAAAAGACAAAAGCAGGGTGACAGAGATGCAGCTGCAGCACCAGAGAAACCCCACTAGAAGTGGGATTGCAGGTAGTTTTGTTTGTTTATTTATCAATAAAAAAATATTAACAGCAATTAAAAAAATCAAAACATTCACAACCCATCACAGAGTCCTATACGTTTTGGCCATGTGTTCCCAACGGGGTCCTTCATCGAGGGGAGACGGTGATTTCAGCCAAAAGGCCCCTTCATGCTTTTCATGGGTGGGTACTGCTGCTCCATCGGCACGGCCCCAAAGCAGTCAGAGGGGCTACAGTGGCCAGCCTTGCCCGGCTGGCCCATGGGGCCGGGGGGGCCAGGGATGCCAGGGATGCCTTGCTGGCCCATCGGCCCAGTTGCGCCCATCTTGCCATACCCTGGAGGGCCCTGGGGACCTGCAGAGGGAAGTCAGAGATGGAAGATCAGGAGCCCCGGAGCAGAAGAAAAGAGATTAGAACCTACAGTTGATTGCTATTTCTCCAATGCCATGTTTTCCTGCAGGCTTCATCTGACTCTGGCATTAATTTCATGAGAGCAGCAACAATACCAGCTAGTTTTATTGAGAGTTTCCATGTGCGGGCGTGAGGCGAGTGCTTTTTAATGCATCATTCATTGAATCATCACAACTGCTCAGTGTGAGAGGAACTGTTATGCCATTTTGGAGATGAGGACGCAGGCTCCGGGTGGTGGCAAATGTGGTGAGTGGGGAGTGGAGCCAGAACTGGGTTATCAGGCTTTGGGTTAGGCTACACAGCCTGGCTCACCTGTGACCTCGACAAGGTCATACGCCCAGTATGATGTTGAGCAAGATTTGAACTGGCCTCCCTATGTTCAACTCTGCTGCCACCGGGTGCCGGCCCCATTTAAGCCTTCTGCTCCCCTGCACACACCCCACACGGTGTCTCACAGACGGCGGCATCGCCTATACCGTCCCTCGGTAGGCCTATGTGATGTCGAGGTTCTACCCAGCAATGTTGTGGAAGGTCCACAATGAAAAGGGGCCTCAGCTGCTCCAGACGCATGGTGTTTCCTACCTGGGGGACCAGGGAGACCATTTTCTCCTGCAATGCCAACACCAGTGTCCCCCTTTTCACCTTTGGTACCAGGCAATCCTGGAACAAAAGAAATAAAATAAGCCCCATCCCCGAGCAGAATACAGACCAACTGCATTACTTGCACATACGTACATATGAATACATGCACACCAGACCCCGCAAGACCCGTGCTTGTTCTGAAGAGCTGTACACACGCCCTGGGAACAGGAGGACACACTTGCCTCTCATTCCCGGCAAGCCCTGCCGTCCTTCTCTGCCAATTTGACCAGGGAGTCCGGGTGACCCCGGGGTGCCTGGCCGGCCGGGAGCACCATCCTTTCCTGGGGGCCCTGGTCGCCCAGGAGATGCCGCCATTTCCACCGGGAACTGCATTCTGGAGGTGTAGTAAGCCATCCTCTCTGCCAGAGGGGACAGGGACAGTCACGGGGTGCCCCAGAGGCCCAGAAAGACTGCAGCAGCTGCAACAGGCCGCTGGTCTGACACGACATTTCAAGGTCTACTTCCCAAGCCAGATGTCCGACCCCTTCAGGACAGGGTCTGTGTTTCCCCCGTGCCTAGCACATCTGTGTCAGAGGAACAGCAGAAAAGGAAGAAAACTTATAATGAAGCCACACCAGCCATCTTACAGGCTGCTCGCCCTCTATTTAGAGCTCACTCCATGCAGGCTCGTTTGATATCAATTTTCTTGTCCGTCTCCTTTGCTCCAGTGGGGGCCCGAGGAGGGCAGGAGGGAATCATTTTATCTCTGAACAGAACAGGTGACCAGGAAGGTCTGAAGTCTACTTGAACAGAGGCCTGTAAGTGGGTGGGAGCAGGGGGTGAGTCAGGAAGATTGTGAAAAGGAGGCCGGGTGGGGCAGAGAAGCAGCTGGGAGGGACAAACAGCACCCCTGTTACCCAGCCGGCTGCCAATTACCATCAAACATTTTAATGATCTCTTGTCTGATGAACCTCTTGATTTCATCATAATTCACCATGTCTCCCTAAGGAAAGAGAAGAAAACCTGCCTCAACTAAACTTCCAAGCCTGGTGCCCTCCCTCTGGGAATAGACTCTGAAGGGCGGGGAGGGGGCAGAGGTCCCAGGAGCCTGCCACAGATACTTCATCCAGTGTCCCAACCCCTCTGGAATGGTACCGTACATTTTGTGCATCAGTACATTTTGGGGGACAGAGAGCCCCTACAACCCCTCTCCCAGGCCTCCCCTCCCCTCCCCCACCCACCCACTCACACAGTTGAAAAAGTCACCCATAAGGGGGTCAGGCTGATTCCTGCAGTCAGCAGCTGCTAAAATGACCAAGCTTCCACCCACGCACCTGCTTTGGGAGACAGCCTCCCCCTTACCATGGAGCCAGGCACCCCGGGCAACCCAGGGCTCCCTGCAGGGCCTGGAGATCCAGGGTGGCCTCTCTCTCCTGCAGGGCCTGGTAGCCCAATGGGCCCCATGGAGCCACTCTTGCCAGGCCCGCCAGGACTGCCAGCTCTGCCCTTCTCTCCTGCTTGGCCCTTCTGTCCTGAAGGCCCCGGATCGCCCTACAAGAACAGGAAGTCAGTCCAGCATCGCCATGGACTGCCCATCAACCCCATGGTATCTCACGGCCTGCCCTTTCTCTCCATTCCCACCCCCACCCCCACCCCAGCATCTCCTGGACTGTGGCCTAAGCATCCTGACAGCTTGCCTCTTCCCACTGCCCCAGAGCAGACCTAAAAAACAGTTCTCCTGCTGTTCCTTCCTGCTTAGAAGACTCTGATGGAGCCCAACTGCCTTCAGGATAAAGGCCTAATTCCTTGGCCAGGCATTCAGGGCCACTTAGACGCAGTCCTGCTCACATCCTCTGCAGCCTCGTGGCCCGGCCTTTGCACCTCCAGCCAGACCTCCCTGCTTGTGGCTCTCTGCCTCAGCCAGCACCCCGCTCCCTGCCCCCCTCTCCCCGGCTCTCCGCCTACTCAGCAGAAATGCTCCTTCGTCCAGCTCCCCTAACTCCCAGGCTGAGTCGGGTGCTTCTCCCCTCTGCTCCCACAGGGCTGTGTCCGTTTTGTTTTTTTCCCATACTCTACTGTGTGACTGGACTAAGCGAGCCCTGCTGTTCAGACCTCTGTTTAGCCACGCCTGGGCCAGAGGAGCTGGAATATGACTATGCAAGATCAAGCAGAAGGTTGTGGAATGAGTCAATCGATCAATCCACCAACAAGCGAATCGATGGCATCTCCATTCTCCCACCCGGAGCAGCCCGAGGTAAGACGTGTAGAGCTGAGGTTGCCCGAGGTCTGGCCATGCCGCCCCTGCCTGTGGCATTCCTGGGTCTCCTCTCCATGGCTGAAGCCTTAATGCACCCTTGAGCTTCTCCTTCTGCAGGGCCCACTCACCTTTGGGCCAGGCGGCCCATAGAGTCCCTGTTTGCCAGGAGGTCCCTAAAGGAAAGCAGAAGTCCAGGTTCAGTCTGGGTGGGATCTCCAAGTCGTGCTAGGGAGGTGCCAAGGAGGCCCTGGGCTGTGTCCCGCTGGCGGTGTGTGAGAAGACAGCGACGTTCCCTAGGGCCTTGCCCTGTGTGATGGTGTTGGCCAGGTCCCTGGTCACAGGCGAAAAGGGCAGAGGGAATGGAAGGGCCTGGTATACTGGGCCCCTGGTGTACTGAGCTGGTGGCCTGGAAATGTTTGTTTGGTGTTTATTATTATTGGCTCTTTTCCACCAAGTACATGGCTAAAAAAAAAAAAATTGAGAATACAGCCTCGCTCTAATCCGGGTCCCTCAGTCTCCAGCTCCCCTGCCCAGAGTGTCGGGCACCAGTCTTCGGTGCATCTGTCCAGAGATCATCTGTGCATTCAGGGAATGCTCACTAAAGGCATGAAGAGGTTCGGGGAGGGGAGGCGAGGAGCGAGACGCCTCTCCAAGGGGAAAGAAGCCCAGCACCACAGTACCTCTTTGCCAGCTGCGCCGTCGGCTCCAGGCTCACCCTGAGGAGAGAGTGATGGAGATGTGTGGGAGCGGCCGGCTGCGGCAAGGCACCTGCTCCCCTGGCCGGCGCACCAGCTGCCACCCCCCCCAATTCCACCCAGGAGCCGAGGTCCTCCCCCTCCTGCTCTGACACTCTCAGGTCATGGAAACTAGACGCCCGCCCCACCCCAGCCTGGCGCTAAAGCCCAGGGGGACAGCGCCTGTTACCGGCCCACCCCCAGCTCTACCGGGGAAGCGCACCCTGCACCCGCCTCGCTCTGCATCCTGGGTCCCGCCCTCCTCTGCATGCATGGGCAATGTTTCCCCCTTGGAGGTATAAAATGAGAACTTCTATCTGGGTTGAGGGTCCAGAAATTAGCCAGGGAGAGCCTGAGCCTGCTCCCTTCCCAGGACAGGAGAGGAGCCGCCTGAGCCCAGCCCAAGGCCTGGGGTGCCCGGAAGGAGCTTGTATTTGCACACTAGCAGCTCCAACACCCGCAGCTCCCGAGCCAGCCGCAGGCAGTGGGTGCTGAGGGTGGAGGGCCTGCTTAAGGGCAGAAGTCAGAGTAGGAGGGGAGACTCGGCCCTCCCTGCAGGTGGGCTGACTGGTCCGTCACCCCTGTGGCTGCACCGGCTGGACTCACCCCCCTCCCCGCACCCCCACTTTGCAGACCTCCACCCCAGGGTCGTTGCCACTGCTCCCAGAACAGAAGCACTGCTCCGCTGCCGTGGGAGGCCCCCTGACCCGGGGGTTCCTGCTCAGCCCCGGCTCCCCCCCTCCCCCGAGACTGCGACTGGCCATCCACTCCGGGCACAGTCCATCGTCTGGAGCCTTTGCAAGAGGCGTTGAGCAGAGTGGCCGAGGGCCGCGCCCTGCCCACCAGCGGCCCCCTGAGCCTTGGGGACCATCAAACCTACTCAGCAAGGACATGGTGCAGACTCGGTGACAAAATGTCAGACTTGGCTCACTCGTGGGCATTCATTGGTGACCAATATGTCACAGCTCTTAATGTTAAACATTAGTGAGTCGGGGGAGTGGTTCCCCAGTTGCTGAGAGAGCTACAGTAAGAGCCCCATGTTTCACTTGGTGATGGGAAACCCAAGGGGATTGCAACTGAGATGGAAAAATGCACAAACATGGGTAAAAATAAACTAATATAATAATAATAAATAAAAAAGCCCCACATTTCTGGGTTCCAACATTTACCGACTTTTCTGTGGTCACCAACAAGCCTGGGAGGGGGAGGGGAACAGGGCCAGGTCTCCGATCTGACACCAAGGGGTGCTGGCTGTGGTGGGCAGTGGGCAGAGGCATCTCTGGCGCAGCCTGGCCGCAGGGCTGCTCTGCTCCCCGTGTGACAGGGCTCTCAGCACGAGCTGCAGGCTGTGCCCGTCCACGCTGACCCCTGGCCCTCCCTGAGGCCCAGGTGTGCAGCACTGCTCTCAGGGACACAATCACCGCATCTCCCTGGGGCTGTGCTAGGGGTCTTACCGGGGGGCCAGGGTGTCCAGGTGGGCCAGGCTGGCCTGGAAGGCCTAAAAGGCCCCTCTCTCCAGTGGCTCCCCGGTCTCCTTTCAAGCCCTAGAGAAAAGGAGGGGGGTGATGGTGAGGGAAAAGTGAACCCCACCTAGCCAGAGGCAGACCTCCCACCAAGGCCGTACCCCCCAGGCCTGCAGGGGGTGGCACTGCCTAAGCACGGAGGTCTTCCCTGTGAAGACCTCCACCTCTTGCTTGTGGGGGAGCTCTCTGGCCAGGGAGGAGGGGGAGGGAGACGAACTGTTCTCTGCCCCAGCCCCATTCCCTCCAGGAGCAGCCCTGGGAAAGAGGGACTCGGAGAGCATGCCACTCACCACAGCAGAGATCCCAGCTGGGCCCGGCTGGCCCGGAGGTCCCGGTGGCCCCTAAAGAGAGACGAAGCCAGTGGGATGGAAGAGGCACCGGAGACCAGACACCCAGGCGGAGGGGCATCAGCTCTCAGCCGGGCCATTCTCTTCCTTAAGCTCCTCCCTTCTGGAATTGCTCCTGGGCTTCTGATGGACTTGAGCAGAGCTGAGGGCCGGGATCCCCCTGGCATAGTGAGGGCACATCTGGGGCTGTGGTCTGGGAGCCACGGCCAGAGGCCAAGCGCAGAGGGCAGTGGCCTGAGGAAGTTCACCATGAGGGGGCCCCTGTTCTGAGAGGTGAGGCTCAGGAGCTGGGATGGAGCGGCAGGTGAGAGGAAGGGCCTCAGCGCCAGCCTAGCATCCGGTGCCCGCTGGGTCAAGGTATAAGCTGTTGGGTCCCCAGGGCTCCTGCCCCTCTCCCCCAGCCCCCTCACCCTCACCACTGAAGGGCAGCAAGACACAAACCCACAGGCGCATCCACCTGCCTGGCCTGGCTGGGTCTGATGCCTCCTGGCCACCCACAGCTTCAACCTGAGGCACAGTTGCTGCCAGACCCTGGGCCAGAGCTACATCTCAACCCCAGGGCACGCCCATTCAGAAAGTTCTAGAGGACACTGCTCTACACATCCCAGGTGTTCTGCAGCAGGAATGCCAAGCGGGGCCTGGCGCACAGCCGGTGCTGGGCGGGAGGGACAGAAGGGAGAGGAGCTGCCCTGCACCCCTCGTCTCTACCCCCCGTGGGGACACAGTCCTCAGTATGTGACTGTTTTCACCTGTAACCTGGGGCCCCCAGTCCAGGGTCTCTGGACCCTTTCAACAGCAAGGGAGACCTGAGAGTTCCTTATTTTGGTGACGAGCTATTCTGAACATCCCAGCGCAGTACAACAGGGCTGTAAGGAAACACCAGTGTCCCCTCTCCCCTGAGCCGAAGCACGCAGCACCCCACACTGATCAAAGGCACCACGGCCAGTCGTCTCTGTTACGGAGGAGCAAAGTGGACGGAACGTCTGTTGTTGCTCGGCCAACACCCTCTCCCAGCGCTCTCTCGGTAAACACACCACCCCCTTGCCCAGCTGACCAGGACAAACACGGCGCCATCACCCCCCCAGCCGCCCCCATACTCTTCTTGCTGCCCAGCCCGGCCTGTCCAGGCCGCTGGTCTGGCCTCTACCTCCACACCTGTGCCACGTCCATCCGCTGCCGCCCTGCTCCGCCTCCACCTTCAGGCAGGTCACCAGCTACTTCCACGGGCGCCCGGCTGTCTGCACGTGGTCAGCCTCCCAGTCCAGCACGCCCCTCCCCAGCTCCCCTCCCGCGGCACTGACCCGGGCCCCCACACACCAACGCTCCTCCGCTAGCCTTGGGCCTCTCCCTGCGACAGCCCCTCTCTGCCTGATGCTTCCACCTTAACTTACTTGTTTGCTGGGGCCGCCTGGAAGCCCTGGGATCCAGGGACCTGCTCTCACTCGCTCACTGCCTTAGCCCAGCACTTGGCAGGGCGCCTGGCACGCAGCAGGTGCTCCACACTATTTATTAAATAACCGAATGATCTTTGTGTGATAAATAAACTCGAAAGCGCCCGGAAAATAAGGGAATGGCAAAAAGCCTGGCAGCCACTGGGTGGGTGAGTGCGAAGCCGTCGTGGCCGGTGGCTGGGTGCTCCTGTGCCTGGCAGGCCATCGCCAGCTTGCCCACCACTGGCCCCAACGGAGTCCTAACTCTGAAGGAGGCAGACGTGGGAACAGTTGAACTCACAACGTGGCCAGGGGGGCCGGGTCTTCCCTGGGGCCCCATGGCACCAGGCTCGCCCTGCAGGGGCCAGAAAAAGAAAGAACAGAGACACAGACTTAGGCTCTCGGGCTGAGCAGAGAGGGTGAGGCGGCCAGCGCCAGAGGACGAGTAGAGACCCCGGGCCCCAGACCGAGGCCTTCCAGGCCAGAGGCCCCAGCTGGCCAGGGGGCACTCCTCCCTGAGAAGGCCAGGTCCTGCCTGTTTAGGTTAGTGACCCACCAGCCCACAGGGAGTGTCTGGTTACAACTTAAAGGAGGGAAGGTCAAGATGACACTGTCGGGCAAACTGTCCCCCCAGAATTCCCAGGAGGCCTAAGAGAAAAGGCCGCCACTTTGTTATTGCAAGAGAAATAACAGACCCAGCAGAAACCACAGCCACCCACCCTCCAGCCCTCACCTCTGCTCCTGGTCGGCCGCTGCTGCCAGGTGGGCCTGGCTTTCCACAGTCACCCTGCAAGAGAGCGGGGCAGCTGGAGCTCAGCACATGTCCGCTTGGGACCCCCCAGTCCGGTGGGCTCCACATCCTGCCGTCTGCCCCTGCTATGCCCTTGGGCTGGGCGACGGTGACCCTGGAGGCTTTTGGATGTTGGGGTGGCATCTCAGCCACGCGCCGGGCCTCCCGCTTCCTCCGGTCGGCCTGCTCATCTACCTGGTGCAGGCCTCAAGGGGAGTGAGGAAGTCACTTGGCAAACGGCACCAGGCCCTTACCTTAGGTCCTGGGAGGCCAGGATGTCCTGTTTTGCCCTTGAAGCCCTGGAAGAAAAAGTGGGGAACAGTCCTGTCCGTGCTGCAAGCTGAGGCCTCTTTCCGCACCTCCTTCCTCAGGTTAAATAGACCGAACCCATCTGAGCCATGGTGCGGGCGGCTCAGCGTGAGGCCCCTGAGCAACCAGGTCCGCCCTGCCGCTCAACTCACCGGGGGTCCCATGAGTCCGGGGGGGCCAGCGGGACCGGGGTCCCCCTAGAAGAAGAGAAGACCAGGGCCACTGAGACAGGAGCTCTACCCAGTTCACCCCCAACTCATCCACCACGGGCTCCCCTCTCTCCAGCACCCCCAGCCCCCAAGATTGGAAGGACATCGAGTGGGGAAAGGAGAATCCCAGCGGGGGTTCGGCCGCCCACTGCTGTGAGCCCTGAGTGAATCCTGCGCCAGCTGGGCCTCAGTTTTCCTTCGGGGCACAGAAGAGGGCTGACTTTGATGTTGTGCCCTTTGCCAGGACCCCTAGGCCCAAGCCCTTCACCATCTTCAGCTGCTCTTCCTGACATCTTGCCCGGTCTCCTGCGTCACCAGAGTTCTGGGATTCTCTGTCCCGCCGTGGGTGAGGCCCTGTTCATCTAACCGGGTTAGGGCACCAGGAGAAGTGGGGAACACAAGGGCTCTGGGGCCAGCAGGGAGGCAGAGCATGGCGAGAGGCAGATGGAGGGAAGGTGGGGGTACCCCGTGACAGAGGAGGAGGGCACTCTAGTTGCCTTCATCAGGGTTCCTTAGGCCTTGACAAGAAGGAAGAGGGTGCATTCCTGGGCTCGTCAGCTCACCCTCATGCCAGGCTTGCCGTCCTTCCCATCCAGACCTTCCAGGCCAGCTGGGCCCTGGGAGCAGGAAAACAGCATCTCTGCTTATCTGTGCTAAGGAGTCTAAGGAGGGGTGGGGGAACAGACCAACCGCTCCCCTTATTCATCCTCACCCTATCCCCCACACACCCCTCTGCACTCCCATAGGGCTCACCTGGATCCCTGGAGGTCCTGGTGGTCCAGGGGGACCAGGCAGGCCTGATGGGCCTCGAATTCCTTCACTGCCCTGGAAATGAACCAAAAGTCAGCAAGGTCTGGGCCACCAGCTCTGGGGACCACTGGAGGTCAGAACAGCTGGCTTCTGCCCCAGTTCTGTCCTGGCTTAACCGGACGCATCCCCAGGGCCCTCCCCGGAGCCCTGTCTTCACCTGCAAAGCAGCCTTCCCTGCACTGCTCCTTGAGGAGCCCCTTCAGGCCAGCGTTCTCCTCAGGCTGCCCAGGGACAGGCCTGGCGGGCACTCGGGAGCGTGTGTGCTCACGGCAGGTGCGTTCACTTCACATCTGGCCTAACAAGGTGCCCAGCACGGCGCAAACTCTGATTATCCCCCCAGATGAGCAAAGGGTGGCCCCTGTCCTCAAGGAGCTGGCTGTCCACGGCGCACCATGATCAAGGGCAAAGCACAGACCCACATGCCCTGTGTGAGTTGAGGGGCTCAGGGGTTCAGAGCGGGAGTGGCTCATCACAGGAGCATCTCCAGACGCTAGACCCCGAGGGTGGAGGAGAGGAAAAGGGCACCCCAGAGGGAGCATCACAGGCCTGGCCTAGCCAGCTGTCTGGGCCCCTGGGCTGGTTGGGGCTAAGGGAGAGTGGGGCAGTGGGGCGGAGCTGGAGAAGTTAAGAGTCGAACTGGAGACCCTAAACATCATGTCAAACGTTGCCAAACATACCAGCGGTTTTCAAACTGCACTTCTCAGACCCTGAGGGGTCACGAAGGAAGCTTAGAGCTAGGGACATGAAGTGGGGGCTCAGAGGGTGGGACTCCAGAACCCCTCTGCTTGCCTTCACTAAGCAGCTCCACTTATATGTGTTCCCTAGGCTGAGGGTTCACATGAGTTTTTGTGTGATAAAAGGCCTTGAAGACTACAAAATAAAGTGTGAAAACCACTGCCGACAGGCTTTGGGGAGCTACTGAAACTTCAAAGAGGGGAGTGATAACAGATCTGTGAGTTAGAATGTTTACTGGAAAAGTGAGCGGGAGGCAGGCAGATCAATGAGGGCTGCTATATTCATCCTGGGGGGAGAGGGGGCTTCCCTGGCCCAGAGACTGTGGGGGGGCCTCGTGGAAGGGATCCAGCCAGAGACCCAGCAGACAGGAAGCAGCCCTGGGCAGCCCTGCAATGCCACTAGCTACCAGGAGGGGTCAGCACAGCCCCGGGAAATGTCAGCCCCACAGGACAACCCCTGGCCAGAGGTTGGGGTTTCTCTGCAAGGACAGGCCTGAGGACAGCAGGCAGCCCCGGGGTAGAGGGCCAGCAGAGGGCTAGGGGCTCCGCCAGAAAGGAGGGGACGCCCCCCACCGCCTCAACCCTGGCCGACAGGCACCGACTCTGGGAGGCAGCACGGGGCTGGGGGCTTCTCTGGGCTGGAAGGGACGTTTCAGCGCTGCAGCCATCTCTCTGTGCAACCCTGACATGTCCCAAGCCTCTGGGCCTCATTTCCTCCCCCAAACAGGGTTAGTCAGGCCCAGATGCCGTCTGTGAGGGCTCTCAGCCCCGAGAGGCTGTGCTGGGCGCTTCCACAGGAATGTGCTCCCCCGGGCCTCTGGGCCTCCTGCCCCTCCCTCTGAGCCAACCCTCTACATCTGGGGCCCAGGGTGTGCGCTGAGACGGATGTCCCAGGTCAGCACAGAGCTAGTGTCCACTTATCAAGCCAAACGCAGGCAGCGAGCTGCTGCCCCTTCCCACCCTCGCCCCAGCTCCCGGCAGGCTCCTGCTGGGGGGCTTCAGCCAGCCCTGCCCTCCTTTGCTCAAAGCCTGGCCTCCCCTTGAGGGGAAGAGGTGGCCTGGAGTATCCCCATCACCTGGCTCTCGCTCCCCCCATCCTTTTCCCTGACACCCGCCTTTGCCCTCCCAAAAGGAAGCGACTTCCCTGCACAGAGGCCAGTGGGAATTCCGGGCTCAGCTGCCACTCCCAGGAGCCCATGTTACGCCAGGTCCCGGCCTGCTGTCCCTGGCGCTCTCACTCTCCATCCTTGCTGAGACGGAGCCGGCCTGAGGCACTGGCTGGGGAAGAGGCTTGGGAGCTGCATGGCCCAGCAACTTGGGGTCCTGCTCACCTTCTCTGCTTGGGGGCCAGGGGGGCCAGGTGCTCCAACTTTGCCTGGGAATCCAGGGGGACCCTGTATCAACAAAGGAGCAGGCAGAAATGAAAGTGGGGCTGGAGGGTGAGCACCCCTTTCCACTTCTTCCGGCGGGTGCTTCATTTTGTTAACAGGAAGCATTTGACTTTCTAGAAACACCACGCAGGAGCATTCTGTCTGGCTGAAGTGCTGGGCTGGAGCCCACCCAGGAGGCCCTCCTTGATTTCCAGCTCCTGGCTCCTGGAATTAGGCCTGGCCACCCGGGAGGCCTCTTCCCTCCCGCCCCAGATCCATCCTGGTCCAGGCTGACCCAGCCAGGCCCAGTAAGGCTTGCCCCTCCCAGACAGCCGGCCTGTGTCTTCACTCACCGGGGGTCCTGGGAAGCCTGGCTGGCCTTGGAATCCCTAAGGGAAGAAGCAAGGGACAGTTTGCTGTGCCCCACTCCTGCCTGGCCACCCAGGTGGAAAGAGTGGCTGGAGAGTGGCCTCCAGCTGGACCTTCCCTGCCCTCTGCCCTCGACGGCCACCAGACAAGGCTCTGGCGCTCTGGCGTGAGGACAGGCGGCAGCTCAAGGACCACCTGCTGTCGTCAGGATGCCAAGGAGGGTCTTGGGGTCACTCACCTGGTCGCCCTTCTCACCCGAGTTCCCTTGGGGTCCTCGCTCTCCTCGGGGACCCTGTCACCACAGAAAATACAGCTGGAACCCAATCAGCTGCCTTAAGACCCTCAGGCAGGGCAAGACCAGGGGTTCTGTGTCCACATGTCCCTGTCCTCCTATACTCACCGCTGGCCCTGGAGAACCTGGGAGGCCTTCGGATCCTGGTGGGCCCTGGGGACCAAAGAAGCACGCCCAGTGACTCTGACGGGGGCGATGAGGGGCCGGGCAGGTGGAGGTGGAGGCTGGGGCGAGCGAGACACCCTGCGAAGCTGCAGGACTCCTCCACCTGCCTATTCGGGCTTCTCTCTCTTGCCTGAGCTCCTCGCTTGCCAGCCTCATCACTAGCCCTGCCACCTCCTGGCTCACTCCAGGACAGCCAGTCACTGGCTGCCATATTCTCTCGCCAAAGCACGGTTCTGCTAACGCTCTCTGCTCCAAACCAGCCCGGCAACAGGTAAGAGGCGCACACTGGCCACCAGTGCTGGGTGAGAGACATCCTGTGAGCTGCCACCAACTAACCACTCTACTCCTCTCCTTCCCCCACCCCTCCCCTCCCCTCCCCTTCGCTATCTGCCCCTTGATCCAACCACTGGTCTCGAACACACTGCAGCACCCCTCAGGCCTTGGCACAGCTGCCCCCTTACCTAGAGTGCCCACCATACCCCCACCCCTCCTAGGTCCCTTGAAATCTTACCAAATTATTAGATGACATGAAATCACCCGCAGGTGGCCCCAGCCATGGCTGCTCCCTCTGGACCCCCCTGTTCTGGTCCTAGCTCAAACACCCCCTGCCCCGGGGTCTCCCCTCTGCCAGGGCATCTGGCAGTCAGCCCAGCCCCACCTGCTCTGCGCCCCCATCAGTCTTTCCTCCCCATTCCACCTGTCGTTTACACCTGTGCTCGCTGCCTCCCCATGGACTTGAGCTCCTTGAGGGCAAGGGTGCAACTTCTGGCCTGATCTTGCGCCCTCAGAACAGAGCCTGGCACCCACGAGCAACATTTGTTACTGAGTGGGTGTACAGGGGGTGGCTGGATGCCACTGGGGCCTCCTGACACCTGTGAGGGGCTACTAGGCTAAGGCTTGAGAGTTTGTCACAACAGATTGGGGTTCGAGCCCAGGCTCTGCCCCAACTCACGAGCCAGCCACCAGGATGACTCTCAGCGCCTTCCCGGGGTAGCAGCCTGGCGCAGGCCGCTCTGCGGTGGTGACTCTGGGCTGGCCCAGGACGGGCCGGCCAGGAAGCCCAGAGGAGCCCCAGGCCCGGCCCTCCCAGGCCGGCCCCTCCCCGCCGCCTTTGCAGGGACCACGGTCCCCTGCCAGCCGGCTCCGGCCCCTCCCTGACAGCCTGGCTAGCCTGTCCCGGAGACCTGCTGGGTCCCCACACCGCCTCCACCTCTGCAGCATCAGCCTGCGCCAAGGACTGGAGGGCGGCTGGGCGCTGGGGGGCAGGGGAGCAGGGGCCATGCCCCCTTCACAGGCTGCTGGCACACCCCCAGTCGGCAGCCTGGAGCCGGTGGAAGCAGAGGCCGACTGTGAACCCCGCCCGCACCTGCCCGCACCTCAGACTCACCGACTCTCCCTTCTCTCCAGAGGGCCCGCTGTAGCCACGCTCCCCCTTGATGCCCTGACAAGCCAGCAAAGAGAAGGGGATCAGCCCTGTGGCCCGCCTGTCACCGCGCTATGTGAGGGGCGGAGACCGCAGCTGCACCCAGAAGAGGCAGCCTGGGGATGCTGGGGGGAGGCGCCGTGGCTCCCACTACCACGGCCCCAGTGGACACCGCTCAGCAGGACTCTGTGTGCGGTGACACAGGGCACCGTCTCCCCAACTCTCCCACCCCCAGGGCAGACCTCAGAGTGCTCTGAGAATCTGACCCTCGATGTACAGGGGCCCCCCAACGCAAGGGGTGGGGCCCAGCTATACTAGCCAGGGGGTCATAGCCCCCAGTGCAAGAGGTGGGGCCCAGCTGTACTACCAGGGGGGTCATAGCCCCCAATAAAAGGGGTGGGGCCCAGCTAAGTCTTGAGAGTTTGTCACAACAGATTGGGGGGGTCATAGCCCCCCAACACAAGGGGTGGGGCCCAGCTGTACTACCAGGGAGTCATAGCTGGGGATCTTCCTGACCACCTGGCAGAGCCACAGGCTGAAATCCCCAGAAGGAGGGTGCTTGCAGAGCAATGCCCAAGCCTGGCGCTGCCCTGACTCCCCCAAGGCCCCTGTGGCTCCAGAGCCAGCATCCCCTTACTCACAGGCAGTCCTGGGGGGCCCATGGTACCTGGGTAACCAGGCTGTCCAGGCGGGCCCTGTAAAGGAAGGTGCACAGGATAGACCAGCCCCCCAACATTTCTGCTTCCCCCTCTCTGGGCAGAAGAGTGACCAAAGGAGGGACACCAGGAGTGGCCACTCCGGGGGGCCTCCCCCCCAGCCCAGTACGGCCTCCCCGCCAGCCATTCCCCACGGCCCAGGCCCCTCACTGTGACTCCCACCACTTGCCTGGGACTGGGCACAAGCACAGCCTGCCCCGGGCCCTGAGGCAGAGTCCAGGAAGGCCCAGAACCGGGGTGCTGAGAACCAGGAGGGACCCTGGGAGGGGCGGGCGCCCTGGTGGGGAGGCAGGGCACGTGAGGACCCCCAGGGCCGTGAAGGCTCCAGAGTGAAGGGCATCAGGGCTGAGAGGTGGGTTCAGGAGGAGGAGCTGCCTGCCACCCCTGGTGGCGGTCGCCATCCCCGCCCCGCCCCCGCCACCCCACCGCCTCCTCTCACCTGCTCTCCTTTCTCTCCTGTCAGGCCCCTGAGGCCTCGCTCTCCTTGAAGACCCTTGGAGAGAAAAATCATGAGAAACTACAGGGGCGGGCGGCACCCCAGGCCCTGTTTCCTCTCCCTGCTCCACAGCTCCCGCTCCCACTCCAGGCAGAGGTAGGTGGAGGTGCTGGGGCCTCCGGTGTCCCCAGCAAAGTGGCCATGAGGTTGCCCCAGAAGGGTAACTGTCAGAAGTATCAACTCCCACCTATGGGTGACTCTCAGGACAAGCCCCCACCCCCAGGTAGGGGACGCTCAGGGTGTCTCTCAGGCAGGGGCTGTCAGGGTGTCCTGCAGGAGGGTGATGTGCTCCCACTGACGGCAACTGTCAGAAGGGTCCCCAGAGTGATAACCGCCACCAAAGGGGATCACGGACGCCCCCACCTACCTGTGCGGGCCCACCTGCCCCAGCCCCGAATCACCTTCTCTTAGGATGAGGGGGGGAAAGGGAAGGCTCCCGCAGACCAGTCCCTGTCCCTTCTCAGGGGAAAGGGGCATCACTGTCACCCGAAAGCCAGAACCGCCAGCCCCTACCGACTCCTCACCCTGACCCCGGATCCACCGCACTCTCAAGGGGCCGGAGCTGCCCCACCCCTCTGCCCTCACGAGATGGCGCCCAAGCCTTTCCACGACACAAGACAGATGGCTAGACGGACAGATGGCCCTCCACCCAAGCAAGCAGAAACAGACAGGGTCCGGCCGGCACGAGGACTTGGGGCCAGATGGAGCTGTGACAAGGTGGGCCCCGCGCCCTGAGCCCCATCGCCAGGCCGGGGAGGAGCGGCCAGGCCGCGGAACATGAAATCCCACACACAGGAGGTTAGTTCCGTGACTCAGAAGAGAGCAACAGTGAGGACGAGGGTCATTTAAACACACTTGTGACGATGACGATGACGAAGGCAGAGCAATTAACGACACCTGGAGAAAGGAGCCGGTCAAGGCACTGGGCACAGAAGGGCAGAGCCCCACGACCCCAGAAGCCCAACTGGCTGGCATCACATGCCCAGTCTGAGAGCAGCCTGGGGCCGGAGCCGAGGAAGAGGAGGGGGGAGGAGGAAGCCGAGAGTTCCCTCTAGGATGATGGGAAGGAGCAAGCATGGCTGCTTTTAAATCACGGGGGTGCCCCGGACGGCCCTGCCAAGCAGCGGGGCAGCAGACCTGTGCCAGCCTGCAATGTGAAGCCCTAAAGCTCTGGCATCTCTGCCGGGCTCTGTGCCAGGCGCCTGGCAGGGCCCCAAGAACTACTTTCAGCAAATCTTCAGTCAACACCAAAGGTGGGAGAAGCAGGAGGCAGAAGTGAGAAGGGAGGAATAAAGAGGCCCCTAGAGGCACCAGCTTAAAATAAGAAGGTAAAATAGCTCTGGAGGATTTAGGGGGAGTGATGTGGGATTGTGGGAGAGAAAGGGAAACGGAAGGGGGGAGAAGATGACAGAAAGAAAGCAGGAGAAGGCAAAATGAAAAGAAGTCGGAGCTGGGAGATGTCCATGCTGTGGGACCTCAGGGAACCTGTGTCGTTAGCTACCCTGCCTGCAGGGGACAATGACAAACAGTGTGGGAGGAGGCGCCCGCGGCAGGGACACAAGCAGAAGCCACAGAGACCTGGCTGGCGGGGGAGGGAGGTCGAGCAGCGCTAGGTTCTTACAGGCAATCCGGGGGAGCCAACGGCACCAGGAAAACCTGGGGGGCCCTGGGGGGAGAAACAGGCAGGTCACTTCTCACCAGCACAGTCTCGGCTGGGGTCATGTGGAGAGAGGAGGTTGTGGAAATATTTTCAAGACAACCCGTAAAGACTCGCTGAAAACCCTGGCCCAGAAGACGCCTGCTCCTTGCCCTGCCCCGGGAAGAACAGGTCCGCGCTCAGCAGAGATGCCCAAGAATCCCGAGTCAGACAGCCCTCCCCAAGCCTGCCCGAGTCTAACTGGATGCCCCAGATGAGTGCAGGCTGGTGCTTTCACCCTGCCGGTGGTGCCTTGACCTGGCCGCCCGCCCTGGTGGGCAGCTCCCTGCTGCTGAGATGACGCCCACCAGCTATTTTTTTCCTCCAAAAAAAAAAGCAAGTTCAGTTCTTTCAGTCACTGCTAATTTCCTGCCATATCAACACTGCGAGAATTCCAGGGCAGCTGTCCCTGGCTGGGGCTCTGGGGGCTGGGGTGCAGGGCAGCGCCAGTGAGCCCCGGCCTCTGGAGACACGAAGCTGAGGAGCTCGCAGACCTGGCCAGCAGGTCAACCACAAGCCAGACGCCTAGGCCGGCCAGCCCACGGTGCAGCGATGCAGGTGGGCTGCAAGGCTGAGCCCTGAGGCACAGTGCGGGTGCAGCGGGCAAGTGCCAGGGACTCAGTGGGGTCCATAGTCCCTGCAAAACACCATGGGCACTCTGCCCCCTGGGAGAGCATCTCCAGCAGGCCAGAAAACCACACATACTTACGATGGGACCTGGAGGACCCGGGGAACCCCTCATGCCAGGTGGGCCCTGCAAAGGAAGCCAGGGGAGATGGATGAAGGCGCCCAGCCCCACAGAACCAGAGTCTCTGTGGCCTTCCTCCAAGTTCACCGTAGCCAGCATCAGCCGAGGGTGACTAATGGCCAGAGCAGGACCATTGAGCTGATGTTAAACCTTTCATTCGGCTCATTCAATCATCTGGCATTTACTGAGCAGCTGTTATGTGCCAGGCACTGGTGCAGGTGCTGGGAACACAGCAATAAACAGCACGTAAGAAGAAGCCTGCCTCAAGGCACTTAGGTTCCAGGGGAGGGAGGGACAGCAACCAACAGAACAGGGACTGGCACTCGGCTGGGTGCACAGAGTTGTGCTGTGTTCCTCCATGTGGGAACAAAGCCCGTCAGAGGGTGAGGAGGCGGCGCAGGGAGGGCATGGTCGAATAAGGGTCCCCAGATAAGGCAGCATTTGAGCTGAGCTGGGATGGGGGGAGTAGAGGGAATGTCTCAGGGACCCAGAACTGCAAGGAGGTCAGTGGCCAGGACAGCAAAGGGGCACTAGGGGGCCCGAGGCCTCAGGCCTCTGCAGGACTCCGAGACAGGGAGCCCCCAGAGGGCCCAAGAGGACATTTGGCAGGAAGGAGACTGCCCTCCAGGAACTGAGGGCCTCTGGCCAGACACCAGCCCTTGGGGACCTGCCCAGTGAGGGTCTCACCATTTCTCCTCTCTGGCCAGGAAATCCCGGAGGACCTGGCAGGCCGGGGCTTCCTGGACAGCCTGGATCTCCTTCACTGTTGTCACCCTGGGGTGGGGTGGAGACGGGGAGAATGAGCAGCTAGGGCCCTCCCGTGGGGCTCAGGGCAGGAGGAGAAGAGGAGGGGGCCCCACTCACCCGGGACTCCTCCGCTCTGGGGCGCTCCCGCTCGGTGAAGCACTGTGGGCAGTGAGAGGCTGTCAGGTGAGGAGGCC